CCCCAATACTGCATACCATGTATAAAGTTGACATATTGAGAAAAACCTTTTTTTCCTCATACTCGCGTGTACATCAAACGAATGTACTTTGTTTTTAAGTCACGAAACTCTTTTTAAATTTCAATTCCGTCCATCTATTCAAACTCTTGCAATAGTCGAATATCATATAGTAACAAGTCGAGCGTACGATTTAGTTTTATAAACAAATAAATAAAAGAAAGCATGACACTATCTAAAAATATATTATATATTTAGTTTTATGCACATGTATAAATTTTATACTAGGTGCTTTCACATGAAACAAGTCGAATAGAGGAGGCAAACGTAGGCGGGGTTAAAAGTTTCGACTTTCAATAACGAACATTTTTTACATGTAATCAAATTATACTAAAAATAATTTTAAATTGAATACCATAAATATATAAACTTTTACACGACTAAAATTTATGTTGTCACTAACTCTAAAAATCCAATGTAAATTAAGTTTAAGAAATTCTAAATTTTATTGAAGAATAAATATATTTCAATTAGTTATTTATTATTTTCATTTTAACGACAAATAAAATTGAGATTAATAATTAACTCATTCATTAAACTAAAATAATTTTAAAATTTATGTATTTTTTTAAACGTCCAATTATTTTAATTAAAACTGTCCAGAAAAAATTCTCGGTATCATTTAATTGAAATAAAAGTAAATATAAAATTATATTATCATTTAACCTGAAAGAATTGTAATAACTTTGAAATATGTCTTCATTTATAAAGAAATTGTTTTTTTTTTTTTTTTAATAGTAAACGCCACAATATAATGTATAAAAATGTAATAATAGCTTTTTTTTTTAATATGAAGATAAATACAGACAACGAGACGATATAGTTATCTCACATATTTTCTCGTAGTATTTATGTGGGTAATTTATAAATATACTATACATAATATTAATGCGGGTAGATGTCCTGTGGTATTTTGCTATAGAGCGATATGGCGACGGGAAGTCGTAATCGTAACTTTTAAAAGCGCGCGAGACCGTAAAGGCTGCTTCAGAGGATTTAGGTGGCGAGCAGCGGTTAACTAGGGGTAGTCGTATTAGAATGTATGCAAGGAGAAGGGTGAAAAAGAAGGGCGGCGTGGTAAGAGATGAGGTGGATGTGATATAGGAAACAGCCACAGCAACCGGCATTAAAATATTATTATTACTGCATTTTCGGCGCTTCTATACACACACATGGAACACGACCGCTTTCTTCTTGGGTGTTTGGAAAGGGGTGTAATATACGTCCTAAGAATATTAACCGACCCGCTGTTATACTTCTGTTACAGTTGTTTTGTTGCCTTCTAATTAAAACCACCGGCAGATATCGTATATCAGAGCCTTTTAGTGTACATCTCTGTATCCCCTTTAAATTTGTCCTTTGCAAAAACCTTATACGGTTAGCGTACCCGTGGAGGATTGTGGTCTTTTCTGTGCTTCTATTAATCGTAAAATGGAAAACTCCTGTGACATAGAATGGCATATAAAGGAGCAACACTTTATCATGTACTATTACATACTAATTTATAAAATTTAATCAAATTTATAATCAGTTTATAGAACTACATCGAATTTATCTCGACATAAAGTCATAGATGAATTTTAAGTTTTATAAGACAATAAAAAAATAATTACATCGACTCTTTTGCTTGTTTGGTCATAGGGCTTAAAAATATGAATATATTTAGATAACACCGCATTAAAAACTGATTTCTTTATTGATTGAAAATACGCTTGTTCTCGTAGAAAAAATGTTAAATAAAATCAAAAATTTATGTAAACCTAATGCAGCATACGTATTATGTAAGTAAATGATTTTACGCATAAAAAATGATATTATTAAAATGTATAAATTATAGAAACATTGACTTCATCATCTACCATTAATTAGTTTGATACAAGTTAAAATATTTTTAAAGTATATTAAAAATATGCATTGAAGAAAAATTTTTCCATTACTTTAAAATTGTTTGATATTAAATGACTTTAGCTTATTAAAGTGAAAGAATTCAGCAAATGTTTAGTACATCACACTTCTTCTTAGTGTTAGTTAGCACATCCGTTAATAATCTATCAAGACATTCTTCGTTTACTTAATTTTCTTTACATTTTATTTTATATACAAATATATGATAAACTAATATATATATAACTGATATTTAAATTAATCATATTTTTTCGGTAATCTTACTCACCGCGAGTGGTCTGTTCATTATTTTTATTGAAAAATTATGATTTTAATAAACTTTGCAATTTCAAACTTTAATATTGTAATTACTAATAAACATGAAAGGCATTTTCATTCAAAGCTGTTTAATATTTTCAGTCCATTGTCAACGGGGGGTAAATTAGTAGATATTAATTCAGAGCAATAATAGGCTTTTTCGAAATCTAATATGAAAAAATAGTTTATTCTTTGTTAAATAAAATTAAAAAACATAAACATTTAAATTTAATGACAAACATCGATTACAAAATAATTCTGCCATTGTGAAATAAATAATTTGTTTATAAAATTCGACTGACACAACAATTAATTTTACAGAGAACTTGCGCATGACATGAAACTTGATAGATTTTTTTATCGCCGTAACTCTAATAAGTATACATTATGTTGTGCAAACTTTGTTATTCATGATTAAGTATCCGATAGGGAGAACTGATTGAATTACTGTAACATTTGGCTCAGTCGATGAGTTGTTATTACATAGGAAGGCCCTCGTGCCAGTGGCTAATATGATTCATATATTGTAGTTTTCTCGACATGCATTCATAAAAGCGGCCAATTTGTCGGAGTAGCGCGTTTTGTAACAAATAATATAATAACAACAACCCTACAACCTCTTCAGTGGAGGTAAAAGCTCGACGCCCCTCGACATCATTTACTGACTTCCTGTTAAGCAAAGATCACTTACGCTGTAGGTAATTTTTGCTTATTGCTTCACGATTGTGTTCAATATTCATAAACATGATATTTGTACAAATCACATGCACTCTCTGCATCACTATATAATATAAAGACATCAACTGTGTGTGTACACAACTAAAGCGGCAAATGCGATGAGCGCATACTTCTTCTAATGATTCGCGTTGACAAGGTAATTAGTGAAACTAACCCGCTGCGTTCCCTTCAAAAGCACTCCGGGACATCAATACTGTTTTGTTGATGAACATCTCCAAACGACAAGAAAAGGAGGTCTTCTTTAAGGTAAAGAGAATTATCGAGTAACTCTATTCAATTAAGCTTCCGTTTTTGTATAATAATAATAAACTTCTCTTAGTACAATACGACAAAAACAGCTAAAATTAATTCCTCCGTTATTCATAAAACCAGTAAACGAATCAAATGCCTTAAATCAAACAGAAATATAAGTGAATTCAAATAAAATCTTTATTGCGGTGTATCCACGAAGCCTACTTTCCTTCGCCCCCCCCCCCCAATGAACATTTATATCTCACTATAATAATTGCCTTTAATTATCAGAAAATCTTTGTATCTTTCCAACATACTTCAGCTTAATTTTCATCAAAGCAGTTAAAATTTTTACTTTATGATACTTTTCACCGAGGTCGTTTTATATTTGCTCAATGAAACGTCAATTAAATAGAATTTATTTGTCAAAAAATATTAATATATTTCTAACATATTACCGTGGATGACTTTGGCTCTATAATTAAATGACAAATATTCGCATTGTATAAAAAAAACATTATGACAATAAAGGTGTCGTGTACTCGTTTTAATGACCTCATAGTGTCCCATAATATTCGTGAAGGGTAAGCCGACATAAAAAAGCGTTAAGTTACGAATAACTGTAAATTGCTTTAAATTTTGAAAACGGACACCCAAGAACCGTTAATTTAAATTAATTGTGATACAGAAAAATTCACAGAAGTTTTTGAGTAATATCAGATCAGCTTTTTTTAACCCATATGCTTTTATCTCATAAAATCTCTTACTCTTAAAATAAACGAGCATATAACACGTGATTAAATTTAGTTGAAACAAAAAGCTGTGAATATTTGATAAAAATTCTTATTGTTTATATAAGGAAAAAAGAAATATTTTTATGATAGTTACATTAGTCACAATAAAGAAGAATGCTAAAAATATATTAATTTTAAGAGTACAGATTACAAAAATTACAACGATTATGTATTTTTGGTTTTGTGATGAAATATTTGATGAAACTATAATGCGATTTAGTCGTTATCTACATAATAATAATTTTACATTTTTTGAGTATCACCTACATAAATAGGAAGTTATTAGAAGGTCTAAGTAGACAAAATGAATTTATCAAACCTTCGTCATCGCTGATAAAACAAAAAAAGCTAACATTCCATGTTGCAGTTCAAATTCGATTTTAGAGCCCATTTTTACTGTCGAAACCACTACTTTGGTATAATCATGAAATAATACATAATTTTAGTAGTAGAAAGCAATCAAGAGTAGATAACAAATCTATAGCGATACTATTTAGACAACACCGTCCCGATATCAACCAAGTCTAAAATGTTCAAGTGATTTATGATTGTCTGGTGTAATTTTCTAGAAGAAAAAAAGTAAACTATAAGAGTCGAGTACCGTATAAATCAACAGATGTGAAAATGACGGCTGATATAATCATAAATTTTCTTTTGCTGTTTTATAATCAACGTTTTTCCTTTCGGTCTGGTGCTCGGCCTTGTCGTGGTATTGCTACGGAACGGCATCTTATTATTATATTTGTTTATGTATTTAGGGGCGCGATGCACATTGCTAAGACGCAGTTATTATTTTATCTTTCTAAAAGCTGTAAAAATACAGAAAAACTGACTGATAGCAAATACAATTTGAATAATTTTACTTTGCATGTAAAATGAAAAAAGAACACTCGAACAAAAAATGCAAATGAGTGTTTGCGCTGAAGAAACGTTTTTGATATTGTAAAATGTTAGTACGAGGCACGCCGTATTAAAATATTATCTTATGAAAAGGGATACTCGAAGCGAATGAAAAAAGTTTCAATCTATATGAACTCGTGTTGATAATGTAAATCAAATGATTTTCGCCGGGAAACAATATTATACTACACATTGTCATCGGTTTTTTTATTGTCTCTGTACAATAGACGTTAAGTAAACAAGTATAAAAATTATGAAACAGAAATGCGAGCAAACATTTCAAGCATTGTTTCATTTTAGCGAACAGACGGTAAATGACTTAAAATAAACTCCATTCGTGAACCTTTACATTTTCTAAACAGTTTATCAATAACGAATACAAACTTAAATTTGATTACTTAATTATTACGCTGACACTGGCATTCCTCGCGATTATTGTTGTTCAGACCAACCGAACAATTGTGCGCGTATAAATTCGGTTACGCAATTTTGAAGATGACACGTTATCTTATCCACAGTGCAAAATGAAACGTGACAAATGAGCTCCGAGCGACCGATGACTACTGTTTACAAGGTTATGGGAATACCCAACTGGTCAGTTCGGCGCTAGAAACATGAAGCGAGACGTTGTCAACCTTTTCCCGCGCTGCGGATGGCCATTTTCTTCGATAATGGTCGTGGGTGTTCTGTGTTCGGTTTCGGTTTCGACGGCAGCAATAAGTGGCGGCCGTGTCGGTCGGTCGATCATTCGAATGCCTACCGTCGAGTGTCGATGTCCTGTTGGCTATGTTAACTTCGACGGACAATGCAGACCTCTGTTTCACGATTTGGATGACCAGGAAGTCGTTGATGCCCATTCAAATGCTCTTATCGAATCCACAAAACTCGCCATCCACACTGCCGTCAATCACGTTGTTCAAAAGGCAGTGCACAACGCAGTGCATAACGCAGTACATAACGCAGTGCACAACGCAGTTCAACACGCTGTTCATAACGCTGGAGGCAGTAACGTGTTCACCCATTTTTCCCAACGTAAATTTTATTTCACATCGCGGATTGCATTTACTACTATTACAAAAAACACTAAATAATCTACTGCGCTAATGAAATGTACATAAAATATGTTATAACGAATCACTATCAGTAAGCGTTAATCGTTTGCACAATCAGCAGCATTGAGCAATTTTTTATAACACAATTTTCATAATTTACTTAGGTGTTGCAACATTATACAAGACTGGCTAATACTTATGTTTGTAAATAAATTTTCAGTGACATCACTTCAGTAACCTAATAAATGTCTTTATTATTTTCCTTATAAATGTTTGTATATTTTCCGAAGTAATCAATTGCGCGTAGGAAATCAATTAAAATATTTTGTAAAAAGATGATTTTAATATATAGTAAAACAATCAATTTATTCTGTTTCGCGAGCCTCGTCTCGTTTTTGTATGACTTGGGTTTTGAAGATTCAATTTTTTTACGGTATCTCTTTTGGAAATCGGTTCATAAAATTGGCTATTCTCAAATTGTTCATAATAGTTATTGTATTGTGGATGAAACGACCAAGTAAAAGACAGTGCCCTATTTTTATAAAAAAAAAATACACTAAAAAAAACTAAACTTAATCAAATATAGCCTGAATAATTTTGGGCATTATAGAAAATTCATAGTCTTATGACGGAAATGACGTATTGAATGATTGTTTTTGGAAAAATTATAAATGCATTTTTTCGTTAACTTTAATGTAGTTATTGTGCTACATATTATGTTTGGTGCTTTTTCAATTATAATTTATATAATGTTAAATCGTGAGTAATAACAGATTTTTTATTCTTAAATATTTTTTTTAGCTGATATTCATAGTGCTGCTATGCTCGTCGCTCTTATCGATGAAATAAATAAGAATCAAGCCAATATTTCATGTACGACGAGGGTGATTCCTTGTAACAACTTTGTTCATTCGTGTGTGTGTTAATTCCAAATACTTCATTGGAACATCGGACATTAAAAATTTATTTATTGTAAAATTTCGTTTATAATATATTATTTTAATCTATAAGTGTGATTAAATCAATTTATTTTTAATTATAATTAACTTAAAGGACTTATTATTCTTTGCATCACGTTTTAAAGATCTTTCAGATTACACTAGTTTTAAAATAAAACTATTCAAAATAAAAAAATATAAACATTTTAAATTTGATAGTATTATTTAATGTCTTCGACGATATTTTTATACTAATAATATAACAGAAAATTCCTTAAACTGTGTAACCTTCGAGATTTTTTATCTTAGTGGTATCATAATAATCTATGAGTGAAATATCAGATTCAAATAAAAAATAAATTTTTAAATAAAACCCAAATGTATTAATAAGAAAATAAAATAAAATTCCAGATAAAACATGTGGCTCCTAATTAATTTACGAAATACTCATTTACTGTGTATTTACATAATGCTCATTTATTCATATCAACCTGTTCCTTTATGGATAAACTAACAAAAAGTAAAATAATAATTTTTTCTTCCGTTAAATAAGTATAAATATTGAAACATATTATACGTACTATGTAATTCTGACAATTATTTCCACATATCTTATTTTAGTAAGATATTTTATCTTATTTTTATAAACTTTATTCAATTAAACCTTGCGCGCAAATTTACTACGTTCTACATGCATGTAAAAGATTGTTTAAAAAAACTGCTGAAAAGTAAATCAAAACTTTTATCTTTATTTAAAAATAACTATGAAATCATCACGATCATATGAATGTAAATTAAATATTTAATATAGTAATGTTGTACTCAGGTTTTTGATAAAAATTTCCTTTTTGTGGGCATTGTATGTTTTTAATAAATTCTAATCGATTCTAATTAACTTTGTCAAACGTCAGTAAATATAATTTTGAAAAAAAAAATATGCATTTTATGTCCTTAAAATATTAATGTGTACATTTTAACGATTGTAAGAAAAATTCATATATTTTTCTTTTTTCAAAAGTCTTGACAGTTTAATGTACATAGACTTCATACTTAATAACAATCGGAGCACCTAACAAATATTAATAACATTGCTGTAGAGCGGATTTTTTCGTTATTATTAATAATAAACGTTTAGAGAGAAAAAATAAAACGCTATGGACGGCGTTGTTTGAGAGTTGAAGGTGAACAATCTTCCCCTAAAAAATGGTCCAGCAAAAACGTTTACAATATTTTAATAACTTATTCCCTTCATACCATCAAAATACGAGGTGATTCAATTTTAGTTTTCATTTTGTATTTACTTTTTTTTTTGGACTGGTGTTTATTAAGCAATTAGAGGGTAGTTTTCGTCATCACCCAGCTATTTTGTAATAAAAACATATTTGCAATTCAATTAGAAGGATTTTTTTATTTACTGAACTACCTTAACGCCACACCCATGTTTCGCTTCTTAAGAATTACAAAGAAAAGGATTGCAATCTTATGATTGTAAAAATAATGTCGTCATTCAAAAAAATAATAATCATCGCAGTTCATCTGCAATGCTTAAACATAATTTAATACATAATGAAATTCAAAAATGATAGTAACGAGATTTTCATTTACATTTTACATTAATACCATTTAATGCTATGAATTCAAATAAATATACTCTCAAGGTAAAATACTTGAATTAAATTTTAAAAATTGTCTTGTATCTATTAATATATTTTTCATAAAACAATTATCAATACTTAAATTTTTTTGAGCTGTATGCACACAGCCCATATCATGAGTTTTATTTAATTTTTACAAATTGCATTTTTATTTCTATCTTTTTATGTAAAACTATTTGACTTGATACCCATTTTTGCTTGGTAAATCCACCTTATTTTTCTTAAATTACGATACTATCAAAATAAAATCGTCAAATATTAAAATTTAAACGTTCATAAAATTTCGAATTATAAAACTCTCAAACAATTATTCTGTAGATATTAAAATAAAAATAAAAACATGAAGTTATTTAATAAAATTTGACATTATGTACTTCTAATATACAGGGTGGCCCACCACTCACTGACAACTTAAATAACTTTTGATCCAGTTAATATTTTTAGTTGATTTTTTTTTTAAATAATAGTTATACGTTAGGTCTATAGCTATATCTCAATAATTAATTTTTTTACATTTTATTAAAAATATTAATTATTTTTAAATTTTAAATAAAATGTAAAAAAAAAATCTAAGATAGCTATTTTGTAGAGTAGAATTTAAGAAAAATTTTAGTAAAAAAATATCTTATTAATATTCAGTAGTAAATATTCTGTAGCGTTTTGAAGTTTGTGAAAATTTGAATTTTCATGTACTATTTTACGGTATTAAACATTGAAATACGTATTGAGAAAAGGACAGAAGAAAACGCTATCTTTTCAATATACTTTTGAATGAGAGTGATAAGTAATAATTGCCTTATCTAATTTCTTATCATGGTATTTATGCCAAGTTTGTAATGTATACACACTATCATCATATGTATACACAGTAATCATGAAAAGATAGCGTTTTCTTCTGTCCTTTTCTCAATACGTATTTCAATGTTTAATACCGTAAAATAGTACATGAAAATTCAAATTTTCACAAACTTCAAAACGCTACAGAATATTTACTACTGAATATTAATAAGATATTTTTTTACTAAAATTTTTCTTAAATTCTACTCTACAAAATAGCTATCTTAGATTTTTTTTTTACATTTTATTTAAAATTTAAAAATAATTAATATTTTTAATAAAATGTAAAAAAATTAATTATTGAGATATAGCTATAGACCTAACGTATAACTACTATTTAAAAAAAAAATCAACTAAAAATATTAACTGGATCAAAAGTTATTTAAGTTGTCAGTGAGTGGGGGCCACCCTGTATACACTACTAAATAATAGAAAAATATGATAATATTTTGGTTAAACTCAACTTAATCACACTTATGCTAAATACTAAACCGGTCAAATTCTTAATCGAAATACTCCGGCTATGTAATAAAAATTGTCTATACTGAAGGAGATACTGAATAATTAAAAATTTCTTTGGTAGCTGTAATAAAAAAATCCTGGTGATTGTTAAAAACAGAAAAAATTCACATGAGTTTAATTTTCATTAAAATGAAATAAAACTCAGTTAAATTAGATTTTCCGCACTATATTGACTTCAGTTTTGATAGTTAAGCATATTAATTCTGTTATGTGTAATTTTCTTCAGCGACAATTTTAGGCGTTGACAATGGCTCTTTTTGAGTATTTTAACTGCCAATTAAATGACAATGGATGGCAAATTTTAGGAAATTGAATGAGTACGCATTGCATAGAATAAGTTGCATACGGTATTGTACTCCATTGAATGTCATTTATTGGGTCTTAATATCCGTTTTAACGACCATAGAAAACATCTACAGTGCCCTCCTCCTACATGGACATAACATTCATGCAATAAGGACTGGAACGCTGTACTGTGTAGCATCACTCTCACATGTATATAACAAGTTATTAATGAAAGGAATCCCAATACGGATATCATTTAAGCGAGCAATATTTGAATATGGTGTAATACAATGTCGTTTCACGTCCCATTAAAAAGGACCTCCGGTAGTTTATGGAAAAACTATAGTAACGCAAATTATTGAAATAACGGACTAAGCATTACGCTTATAATTAAGATCAGTATATGCATAAAGGAAAAACCAAATCGCATAAAAACAAAAAAGGTATTTCGAATTTCCTTTTATAGACTCGCATTTACTGTGTATGTGAATATGATAGGAAATATATGCACTATTATGAGATCATATGTATATTGATGAGAATCAACGACAGCAAAAAATGATAACCGTGAAGAAACCCTGAAAATGTGATTTCATTTTTCTGTTGGGATGAATCAAAGTGCAAAATCTAATACGTGCTTGCCATTTTTGAACAGTCATATTCACATATTATACATACATTGCAATAACGTTTCCGACTACCAATGAAACGTAAAAACATATTGTTTTAGTCTGTTTAAGCAAAAAGATAGACATTAAAAAAACACAATGGTAACACTAGTCTTTCCAAATCGACCAAAATCCACAAGTCAAAATGTCGTAAGAAAAATGTGTAGTTTTTAATATTAAAATAACAATACATAATTAGAATGTTGCCGTTATTAATTAATAAAAAATTGATTGATTTCCGAAACAACAATTTTTTTTCACGGCTTTACTGTGGTTAAAATATAAATTGATTGTAATGAGGTCGTAATAATTTCTAACCAAAAAAAGCCATAATCAAATCAAAAACCCACGCGTAGCATAGTTGGATTCAGTATAGATTTAATCTAATAATAATTAAAATCACTATCATATAAAACGCTTTGATGCAAATCTGTATACAAATCTGNACTATCATATAAAACGCTTTGATGCAAATCTGTATATAGTGTTTAATTTTAGAAATTTGGTGGATTATTCCAAAAGCAACATGATCCCTATTTCATTATTTATATCCTTATTACAAGTTTTATGATTTATAAGTTTAATATATAAATAAATATTTATTATAGCAATTAAACATACTATGAAATTGATATACAATAATTTAGTATTGTAATTTTTATGGAGAAATTTAAAAAATTATAAAACAATTCTTACTTTTATGGCAAACGTATATAAAAGTTTTAGGTCTTGGTGCATTATTAAAAAAAAATTTTTTTGTTATTTATAAATAAATTTACTTGTCTATATAGAGCTATAAAACTCTAAAATTTCTACAAAAATTTCCTTATATTTGCATCCAAGCCTTATTTATGATTGTGTTGTTAATCACTGTCTGAAATCATCTATACATGTGCCAATATTGCCATATAACCATTGTAATTTTTGTTTTACCTACAATAGTTATTTTTAAGTTTAGAGTCTCCCTTTATAAAGGGAAATGTTCAGATTAAAAAAAAAAAAGTACGTCGAATGAAAGTATATAAATGGTATATCTCATAAAAAATTGTATTGATCCATACATTTTTCAAAGAGTTATAAAAATCATAAGTTAAATATGTAAACTATAAAATCGAGAATTTTAACACAAAAATAGCATACGGTTGGGTTTTAGCCATTTTCACCATGAAGACAAAATAAAGTACGACATTTTTTTTTTCATATTAAAGTATATTTCGTAAGTTTTAATTTAAGATATATATAAAAGTGTCAGTATTTCCGGAACACTATCAAAAATAAAGATGAAAAAATAATATAATGATACTAAAGGATTCATCTGGTTGTCTTACTATATTCCATCTTATAATTTTAATTTAACTGATCATTATCTTTTTTGGATTAAGGCCAATCATTTTTTTTTTTTGAATCTTTAGTAATATAAAATAATAATATATCATTACTTGAATTGATTAGTTTATTAGAATTCAAGTACAAGTAAAATAAATCATATTTAACACCTTACATTTTTAAATACTTTTATTACTAGAAAAAATCTTAACGATACATTGAATACATAAAGAAAAATTTCGAAAAGATTAGTATGGATAATAATATTAAATTTGTAATTGAAAAGTTTCTTTCAAAAACCTTCAACATCGCTGTTAGCATTTGATTAATGGTTCTGGTTTTGAAAACATAATAAGTACAAAATCAAAGGATGATCCGTTTGTGTCCGGTTGTCTGTCCGTATTAGACAAACCGGTATTCTCAACTCATTTAAGTCACCCTTACCCTCATACTTTGCTTCAGAGCGGTTGACTTATTAATTATAACTTAACATTATTTATCCATGCTTTTCTTTACGATTAATTTTTATTTGGTTAATCCCATTCATCTTGAGACGAATTTTCTGATGAAGAGACAGAGCTAGAACTGCTCGACATCATATTTACCCGATGGAACATAGCAATATTTAATGGGTTCATTCTTCCAAGATCATTTTCATCTATCTTTGCTCTTTCTATAACTTTAACCACAGACTTCACCGGCTATAAAAAAAATTAAAAATCTTTTATTAAGGTTATACATATTTTTAAGAATTTTATTTTGACTACTTGTGTCTCGGAACATATTGTGGAATCACCACCTAGTAGTTAAATAAATAACTAATCACTTATCCGAGGGACTTGTTTATATATAAAAAGATACCCGAACAATAAATTGATTTTAAAGAGAAAAAAATTGAATTTAACTAACACATACAATATTAAAATAAAATGAATCATTAATTTGTAAATATCCATATGACATGTATATATATGTATAATATACTTCATATTTTTATGAAGTGTTTAAAATTCAATTCATAAATATTCACTTCATAAGTATGATAAAAAAAAAGTAAACAATTAAATCATTGCAGAAATTTATACGAGTGTGTGGGAGCTGTGGCACGAATATGCGAATTTACATGACTAAATTATTTATAAGTTTATTGAAATACATATTAACATTTAATCATCTAGGAAAACATAGATTTTTAGGTTTTAATTTTTTTTTATATTTATATTACTTACATTATAATAATCTATAATAAGGAATTTGCACCGTATTAAATTATTAATTGTTAAAAAAGTTTACCTTCAATTTAAATCCACGTTTGATTTCATCCAATAGATTTATTGGTAGAGTTGGTCCATCAATCTTACCTTTGCTTTTAGTATTGTTATCCACTTTTGGAAACATTGGTAGAGTTTGGAAAAGTGGCGGAGCTGGATGAATAAAATCTGGAAAATTTTCATGTTTAAATAACATAAATATGACTTTCTATGTATTTATACAAGTAGTATTCAATGGGTTCGTTCCTTGAAGATTTTTTTCATCTATACTTGGTTTATCTAATACTTTAACCATTGGCTTTACCGGCTATATAAAATTAAAAAATCAAACACATATACTAATATTTTATATATTTTAAAATACTTTGATTTAAGTATAATTAATATATAGTTGAAATCATCTCATGTAACTTGATTTGTAGTTCAAAATGTTTAAATATTAAGAAGTGTCAAAAATGTGATTCATTAATGAATATTAATGTTAATTAATTAATATTAACATTAATCCACTTAATAAGTACGAAAAAAACATTTAAAAACTTTAAAAAAATTAACTATAATCACATTGCTTACATTAAGCTATAATATAGAATTTGCACTATACTCAAATATTAATTGTTAAACATTTTACCTTCAACTCCACACCGCGTTTGATTTCGTCCATAAGATCCATTGGTAGAGCTGGTCTATTAACTTTACCTTTGTTTTCAATATTATTATTTGATTTTAAAAGCGTTGGTAGAGTTTGTAACAGTGGTGGAGCTGGAGGAATAAAATCTAGAAAATGTTTATATTTAGAAAACATAAATAGAATGACTTATTATAATAAAATTAATACAGTACTTAAATTTATAAATATATATTATCATTTTTTTATTGTTTTTTTCTATAAAATTAAAAAATATAGATTTACCATTCATTTTCCGTAAGTTCTTTAATTTGTTTAGTTTTTTGTTCATATTTATTTCCTGTTCCTTGCGTTTTTCTAGACTACTACTATTTTTCGGTATTTGGTAATCGGTAGATTCCCTTAAACAATTCTGAACAACTCCGTGGATAAATTCGGACGTTAAATCTTGAATCTGATCTATTAAATAAAATTTTGCTATAAATTATGGTTAGTTCAAGACAATTAATAAGTGGTGTAGTAGGGATTCACGTCCTTATTTTTTAAACTAGGTCATTATATATCATTATAGAATAATTATTTAAAATATAAATAACTACTTCTAATGATGATTTCCAATTTTGGGTCATTACAAATTTCACGTTTTATTGATTCCTTTAAGTCGGTTATTTTGTCGGCCATAGTTTTTTGTCCATTCTCGCGTTTTACTGGTACGCTACCATTTTTTATAAGAAACTGGTTAGATTCTTCTGAATGGATAAAGTTTTGAATCTTAACTATAAAATGAGATATAGTTATAAACTATGGATATATTAAAATATCTAAGCTGTAGTATAGTAGGAAAATGTAAGAAGTCATAATTAATTAAATATAATAGAACATAAAGTATTTTCAAGACACTAATAATTAACAAAATTCATGTAGTCGAATTTACAATTGAAAATGCATATATATTAAGAGGTTTAATGTTTTCTTTTTTCAGAAAATTTGTTTGTGATTTTGTAATATCTTATAATAAATTTGATCGGATAAATTTGTGTTTTCAGAAAATTACAAAAATAATTTGTAGATGCATAAACTTACAAGCTGTGTTTACAATAATACAATAAAACTACAAACCCTTTTTCCTTTCATTAGTAGTACCCTTCGATGTCATTATCGAATGTAACGAGTCTCAAATCGCATCAACATTTGCATTAGTTCTCTTGATATTAGCACAATTTTTTTTATTCTTCCTTTGACATACTTTTCTTATAAAATTTATAAATTTACTAAATATGCTTTTCTTTTGTGGCATTGTTATATTTTATAGAAAAAAATACTATTAATTACTCTTTAAATTGTACTAAAACAGAATAATTAAATAATGAATGTTTAGACTGAAATTTCCATAGGAAATAAACTATAATTGTATCATAGTAATTGAAAATAATAATGTCTATTTTTTATAAGCCAATTACTATTTCTATTAATTTATGCTATGAAATCAATTAAAACATGACATTTTCTTTAGCTAATTTCTTCCTATTTTATGTACTCTAAATGTAATTGTGAAAAACGTAAAGAGGTATTATCTCCACTAAATAAACACCAAACGGATATCTAAAATTAAAAAATATTTTACATTCATACATATAAGAATTCCCAAAATTGATGAAAATTTATATTTATTAATTTTAAAGAAAGTATTTTTTCATTAATATCTATATTCTGTTAATGTTTGAATTAATATTAAATGTGATCCAAAGTTGACTATTTATTATAAAAACTTTCCTACAAAAGCAGGTGGTTCTAAGCCTGTTGTAGCAATTGTACTATAACCTCAATAATAAATCGAAATAACCATTATGTTAAATTGATTCACTTTTTAGTCAAAACAATGAATTGACTTTATAAAGTTTAAAATTCAAAAGTTTATCGATATATTATTTTTCGGTAATTTTCTGTTTTAATCATTTTTAATATCAAATATCAAGTTCAATTTAAGTTTCATAGGTGGTCTTATAATATTTTTGATTTATTGTAATTGCTTTTCTACATTGACTGAAAAAAATAATTGGATTCAAATGAACTAATTTACTAGGTATAAGAAAAATGATCAAAAAACCGAAATTATTTAATTTCCTAACTCTTTATCTAATTTTCTTGAACTTTTATCAAGGTAACAGGGATAAATTATATTGTATTGTTTAAATTATCGATCACTTTTACCTCCTTGCAAAAAAATGCCAAACGCATTTCACAAGTGTAGTATTATACACGATAGATATCTAAAAGACATGTTCATTTAACGGTGGCAAGGTGAAATTGATTTCGGTAGGCAAAACACGATTAAAGGGGTTGCCGAAGAATTGAATTTGTGCATGGGCCGATTAGTTTTGAGTTAAATTCGTTACGGCCACGTGTGTATAAAATCGGTTTGCCCTCGACGCTCCGATCTTGCACACTGTACTAGCAAAAAGACAATTTCCATCCTCCAACCACATTTTCCATTAAAAACCCTGAGCACAAACCGTCTTTCGAGTTTTACAGCCGTTTTCCAATTACCACACGCCTCCTCAATTCCATTTTACTTCCTTGAATCTACAAGTATAAACACTTTTATAATTAACTGTTTTAATTTCAATATAGACTCTCTATGATTTAAATGAAATAAAACATTATAACATGATATAATCTTTGGAATATTTTCTTTTATTTACAGCAAACATCTAATATTTAGAAATATAATAGCATCAAAGTATGAACAGGATATTTTTTTAGTAATTCGAAAATATTATTATTTTATTTTTCATAAAATGATAGAGTGTAAATTATATTGTATTTCATGAACCCATAAAAACATGCTAATGTTGCTGTCTTAAATCTTAGTAAAGTAAACTAAGGTAAGAATAAATAATTTAATTTTATAGTTATGAACTAATAATTGATAGATATAAAGTCTTGGACCATTTTTAAATATTTTAAAGTGGTTATAAAATAATTAAATTAAAATTGAATTCATTGTAAATTTTTGAAAATTTTTCATAATTTTACATTATTTTTCCCTTTAAAAATACCTTTTTAAGTCTATAAAACAATGGTAATAAGACTTGATTATGTTTTGTTGATTGGTTATATAATATTTTTATTAATCAATATCCAGTAATGACAATTTTATTTTATCTTATACAATTTTCAACATGGAATTTAAATAAAAAGTTTTAATTTGGGGTAAAAATACAACGTTACTTTAAAAAAATTAATTTAATTTTTAAAATGATAAGGTAATTTTTTTATTTATTGTAATAAATAAAAAAAATATTACTAATCCTATAAACTTAATTTTAGTATATTATCAATAGATATTAACAATATAATAAAAAAAACGGTAGCACAGTGTGCCATAGTTGGGATAAGTATAGATGATAACTGATAGTGATTAAAATCACTATCATTAGAAACGCTTCAATGTAAATCTGTAGATGGTGTTTAATTTGTAGTAAAAATAAATCTTCATATTTTAAAAAAATTTAATCTACACGTTTCTGTTTAAAAAATTAAAATTAGCATTCTTACAAAACATAAGAGTTGTACATAAAGAGTGTTAATCTTGAAAGTATTAGTACTTAATAAATTACACTTATAGGCTACTCATTGGGAACATCTATAAAGAATATTGCTTAATCATATAATTCAACAAACTTTTCAATTTTTAAATAAATTACAGCTATTCTTTTAATACAAAAATAAATTAGTAAATCTAATATTTGCATTCTTTTTTTTATTATATTTTAACTATAAAAACAATTTTTTTTGTTTTGTTTTTTAAGTAATTAATGTTTTAAATGGTGATCGTAATATTTCAAAAGCTTCTTCTAATAAAATAATTCCTTTAAATAGATATTTTAATAGAATTTTCTTAACACAATATAGCAAATTTTATTTCCTATGGTACAGAAATTCTAAGTTAAATTGTTGACTAATTCAAAACGATTTTTTTACCATTATCAACAACTGTTCACAAAAAAAGCTACCATAATAACTCAATAAGCTATAAAACACAGTGTGTGTAAATCTCACACATGTCTCCAAATACTTTTGTTGTATGACTTTAACCACATTTATTGTATTCTCAGCAATTCTAACTAGTATTATCGTAGAATATATATAGGGCGTTAATAATTTGAGCAATTTTGATATTAATGATAGAGATCATTTATTACAGAATCAGCAAAATTTACCCTTTCTTATAATACGTAGTGGCTATAAATTTAACTTGACTTTTACTTGTAAAGCGTAATTAATTTATAGGTTCATTGCACACCCCGTTTACGAATAAAACATGTAAAACATTTCTTTTACTATACACAAAACATTGGGTTTTGTCAAGTTAAAACTTTTATAAACTCATAAAAGAGAATTTCTTTTTAAGCAACAAGAAAGTAAACGTACGTCAACTTTCATTTCAGAATAATTTACTGAGAGGAGGGTACAGTCCTTATGGTTTTACTGCATAAGTCTTATTGTAAATTTATAATTGTTTTCGTATAATAGTAAATATGTCAACTTTAATGATTCTACATCTATATTTATTAATCACTCAACTCACGTTTATTAATTTTTCAATGAATTATCAATTATTAAATTCAAAACAACATCTAAAAATCTCTTATATTGAACAGATTTGGAAAGAAAATATTAAAATCTAAATAAATTTGTAAAACCTTATTTTACATGTAAGGAATTACAATTTTAGGGTTAAGCTGTTTACCAAGCGTGCCTACGCCTACTGCACCCCCTGCGTAAGCACATATCCAGGAAGGGTTCATACAGGTCGAATTTCTTTGTGGTTTATAAGATAATAATTATTTTATCAATTGGATATAGTTAAACATATTGAATAGTCTACTTTTCCCAATAACAAACATTTTCTGTCAAATGTTCAAACTAATACTATACTAGTGCGTCTTAGAATTATTGTAAACGCATATAACTTTTTATACAATAATAATTTTTTTTTTTATTAATGCCTTATTAAACAACTACTTTTAATAAATATTTTTATTATTATCACTCATTAAACAAAAAAGAAGATTTAAAATTGAATCTTGTTTTTTTCATCGAGTATTAAAGCCTTTTAAGTAAAAAAATTTGTAATTGTTTTCTTGATAAATTTATTTTCAATATTTTTCAACCATTTTACGAAAATATTTCACCTTTTAAGGACAATGTATTCAACTAGATACGATTTGTGATCTTTTGCCGTTTCATTGAAAAAAAAAAAACGATCCTCAGTGAGAGCTAATAAATAGTGGCGACAGACATAAAAACGGCAGTACAGTATGGACATGACATAGTTGAGATTGTATAAAAAATATAACAAAAGGTAAATTTGAGGTATTTATAAAAAAAGTTATAAAAAAAGTAATTTCATTAACTAGATACAATTTGTTCAGTAAAATCGGTTCAGTGAGAACTAATACAAAATAGCAACAGACTCACAAAAAAAATAAAAACGGTAACACAGTGGGGTCGTGGGATAGTTGGCACAAATATACATGATATGTATAATGATTAAAATCACCATCATAAGAAACGCTTCGATGCAAATCTGTAAATGGTGTTTAATTTTAAGAGACAGGCGGATTTTTCCGAAAATAAACTCCTATTTTCTTATTTATAACATGATTACATGTTTTATATAAGTGTAATATATGAATAAATATTTAATAAATTTTAATTTATTTATTAAAAAAAACCACGTCATAGTAAAATTAATACCTCCTCAGTTTCGCATCGAAGCTAAAAATTATTAAATTACATATATATGTTCAGTTCTTTGAATCAAACGATATTTTCTTAACAAAAATTAAAAATATTCAATAGTTTCTGAGAAAATGAGTCTTATCCTTAATCGAACACCTCTATATAATATATACAGGTGTTCGATACTATATATATATTAAAGGGGAGGCTAAAAGTCACATTGTTCAATTATTACTACATACACTACATGTATACTACTACATAAGATTTGTATTTTGAAACTTAGCAACTATTATTTTGGAAACAACGTTCACAATTTAAAGGGAGAAACGTCTTTCAGGAAAGCATTTAAGAAATCATTCGAATAAAACTGAACGACTCGGCAAACAAATCCGCAGATTTTCGCCGCCATAACACGTTTGTTGACTCTTTTGTACATGGTCATAAACGAATGGATTTTAAACGGCCATGTTAATTGCTCTATAGAGTAATATGTACATAAACCCATTGATTATGCTATGTAGACAATCAAAACAACTAAAACCATTTTATACAATTTATAATATGTAATTCATAAACACTATGTGTGCAAGAAAAAAATATATATGCGTTCATCATATTATAGCCATCGTTCTTAAGCAACTCATATTTACATCATAAAGCTATTATTATGCGAAACGTTGCAGTCTTATTATCGCGTTAAACGGCACAACGAAGTCAGCAGCGACACACGAGTTGTGTAACGACCTAACTTTATAAGCCGGTCGTATATTTTCCAAAACGGATTTTCAAAAGCTCGAGAAACGACATGCCGGCGTAATTTTGAGAAAAATTGCTCCCCCTTCCTGCCCCGAGACAATTAATAGGAATTTATCGAGTCCATTTGCATAATTGGATGAGTCAGTGGAATAAACGAAATAGGCCGGTCCGTGCAATTGGTTGCTCGTGTAGCCTATAATATTATATTGAAGGGTACATTAAAGGGCATGGTGATGGTAGCGGTGCAAAGTGATCGATGTTAATGCCTCCCCAGTTCATCCAAGTTTCCAATATCCTAAACGTTGTTTTGCGACCCGTAATCGGTAATAAAGTGAAACCGAAGAATTTAAAAGTCGTTTTAAGGCGTACGAACACAGATTTTATTATACGGTGTTTTATATTGAACTTTCATATAGCAATAATGCATTAACAAAATAATTGGACCTATAGCATATTCACGGAGATGTCCGGACCCCATGGACATAAAATCATAGAAACGGGGGTAGTGGAGGGGTGAAACTCCCTACTACTCTATGTTTTAAGAGTTATCAGGGCCCCCCGTACAAAATGTATAAATACGCTACTGAAGTAAACACAACAAATTTCAATTAAAGTTTTTTGAATAAGCTAAAAAACTTGAATGCAATAGATATTGAGGTCACCAAATTTGAATTTGTTATTAGTTGATTCATCATTCCATTTTAAGGGAGTAAGGGGTCAAGTATCGATTTTAGTCTTTGTATAATTTTAAACATATTTTATATTTTTACTACAGGTAAAAATATATTACAATAACATTGCCAATATTACATTATAGTATGGGACCAATATTAATACATTTTTTCATAAATAATTTTTATTGAACTACTATTATAGTGGTTTTCATAGTTTTACTTAATTTTAGAATATATTTTTACTTTCAATCTGTTTTTGAAACACTTTCTTCATTTTCCATCTCTTCTAGTAAAATCTAACAAATTTAAAATGTCAAATTAAACATCAGTTTTTGTAGTTTTCTTGCATTTTATTTAATGAATTTTAGAAATAAAGTTTTTATAATTAAACGAAATTTTACTTCATAAAATTTATCGGCCCCACACACAATTTTAATACACTACTAATACATTTACTATATGATTGTCATTTTATTATTTTAGTCTATACCATTTGTGATAATTGAACAATTCCATGGCAAATTTTCAATAATAAATGTTGGTTTGAATATTGAAAAGTAAAACAATTGAGAATTGTTATAATTTTTAAATATGGATTACAATAAGTGAACAATGGCTTTGATAATTTAAATCTTTCAAATCTTTAAGAGCATTCATTTTATTACCTTTCTATAGATATCTTTATCAATTTACTTATCATTATTTTGTAAAAAATATTTACAGGCGAAATCTAAAAAGGTGGATAAATGACAATCGCCACTTAGACTCTTTAAGATCACTAATTTTTTTACTGAAGTAAAAAAATACCATTTATAAAATTTATTATCAATAACGTCATTGCTAATAGTCAGTTAAAATGAGTAATAAGGATAATATTATATTACTAAATTTTCTACTTATATCAAACAAAAATCGCATTGAAAACTACCGTGAGTCGTAGATATTGTTATGGGTAAAAAATTTCGTACGTAATTCAATAGGATTCTGGAAAAAGCCTAGCAAAGTATAGTACATAGCTAACGAAATAACACAAAACATATATTACTGTATCATTGTAATTAATGCGCTATCTTGATATGACTGTTAGAACTAATTTCAACACAACTATAAAATTGTTAAATCGTTAATTTAGTCTTTTTAGAAAAATTAATTTTGGTAATACACGTGAAAACTCACACTGGTTAAAAATCATAGAAATGTGACATTTATTTTCAAAATTATTCAGTGAAAATTTAAGTTGACAAATATTCAAGAATACATACCGATGGAACACCACATGATGTGAAGTTTGTCTTTTGTCTTTTTCACAAAAACCAACTATAGTGATACCTGCTTATAAGTGTGAACAGTTACAATATAAATGTCACGTAGTTCTGTAGTAACAATCTAGATTCTATATCGTTCAAAACGAAATCGAAATACAATTTATTTTATGAAGTACTACATTATTAAAAAATAAAATGTGTTCCGATGATTTCTCTTATAAATTATCTCTATAAGTAATCTATCTACCTCTAAAGTTAATGATCATATAATTAATAAAACTGCGACACGAGTCTTCTTGGAGCCAAACTTTACAACTTGGTCACCATTTTCAAATTCCGGATACACTTCCAAATAGGTAATAACATAAATAGCGACGTAACAACATATTGCGTGGTAAAGGGAAACATGGTACCGTATCACTTTGTATGATTAGCTGGCTATGGACTTTATCATACAAGTTTTATTTTAGCGCAATATAAAAAGGAAGGTATGACATTTTTTAAGTTAACAAAAGAAAAACGTTTTTATCTTTTAATAACATTGCACTTCACATTTTTTCTGTTGCGTCCTATATCGTTGAACTAACGCGTTAATCATGTATCTAAAGCTAACACTGACATTAAATTATTAATTCTAGTAATTCGTCATTTACTTATTTTTTATAAATGTGTATCAATTTTGATTACGAATATTTACCTAATCGCTACAGTCATTCGCAAGTAATTTTTAAATATTCGAGAAAAACTATGATATCATATTCGATTAACAACTGAATTTATTGATTTCCGAATAAGTATATATACAAAAAGGGGCTAAAAAACTATCAAACAATTTTAAAAATATTAAATAACAAATATATGTACAATTACCTTAATTAAGTTCTAACTTGTTTTAAGTTTAATAATATTACTTCACACTCTACAGTTCATATACAATCAATATTGTCATAGTTTTCAAAGTTTCTTTGGTTAAACGCAAACGATAAAATTTCACTACGCTCATAATTTATGAATATTTTTACAATAAAAATAATTATTAAACTATTTGCTAACAATTTACAAGTTAAAATAATTAGTAAAAACACAAGTTAAATTATGCAATAAAGATTCACCACTAAATAGACTGTATTAAAGGATAGTATGGTGTTATATACACATAAAATATTAAAAACTTTACGCGTTGTTAGTAAGGTTAAAAAATATCTGTGAAATAAAAAGAACATTATACAATTATTTTTAACTTAATGCATTTAATTAAAATAAATAATTTTGATAAGCAAAAATTTAAGTCGATAATAGCATTAAATAATAGTTGTTTGTTTTGTATTTACAGGTTATACATGGTTAGAAACAAAAATTAAAAAAAAAAAAATTGAAGATAAAAATCAATATTAAGACTTTTTATAGAATATAAATGTAAAAATTGTCTTGTTTAAAATGTTACTAAACATTTTTTGAAGAGGGCTTATGAATGTAAACATTTTTAACTTTTATTTTAAAAATGGCACAAGGAAAGAAAGTTGATCAGTTAAATATTATGACAAACAATTACATAATTATAATATCATAAATTTAACACAATAAAGGGCTGATTTTCATTTTTTAAACCAATAAAATTATTAATAATAGAATAGCATTGATAATAAACAATTTTCTGAGCCTTAAAATTCTATTCGTTCAAATATTAATAATTATAACGTCATTGAATTTTGAAATTATAATAATAATTAAACAACTTTTTTTTAAAATCATATACTAAAACAAAATAATATTATGTTAGGCACTATGGTACAGAAAGTCAGGACTACAAGAAAATAAAATGTTTACATATAATATATATATATATTCAAATATATATAATATGTATTATATTTACATAAGCCGTGCAATTTATTTGAATTTACTAACAAAGTCCCCGATGAAAGTAATGTTTAATGTCCTATTGCACAACCCAGTTTTTACAGAATTTACAGTTTTACATAAAAAATATAACAAAATAACATCCTTAAATAAATAAATTCAGGAGCTTGGATGTAGCTCATTGGTAAGGACTACTTCTTCTGAAACTGGTTCTGATATAAAATCATTTCCTGTTAAATCTAAGTCCACGTACATCTTAGATTTTTTTTGATGATTACTTTCATTTTGTCGATTTTCTACATCTTCAGATTTAAACCCAAAGTGATCCAAATTTGTATGTGTATTTGAATTTTCTGCACCAGTACACATGAGAACATTAGAAAGTATCATTTTCTCATCATTTTGATCATTTGAGAAAACTTCTTCACTAGCATGAATTTGGTAGTCTCCATCCTCAGCTGAAAATTCAATTGTGTTATTCATCATAGCCTCTAAAACGCTCATCTCTTCTTCAGCTACACTTTCCATTTTAAGATGCTCATCATTTTTTAGTTTTTCGTTTTTAACACTATTAGAATTCATCAAATCCATTTGTATACTATCTTCACCCACTACAACATACTCAACATCTGTATCAACATTATTATTTGACTGATTATTAACAGAATTCACTGGTGTTAACATTTCTGTTTCAGAACCAGAATGGTTTAGTTTAAAGGTACCTCTTTTCCTAAGTGGTAATTTACCTAATAAAGCTTCAGATAACTTTTCATTTGCACAGTCTAAAATTTTTGTTATTAATGGAGAAGATTTATTATTTTCTAGTGGTACATTAATTTCAGATACACTTAACCTAGGTGAATCTTTTTTTTTATCAGGAGTTACTGTTATTGATTCTTTAAATGCTCTTATATCTTCTGTAGTTAACACATATTTTTCTATATTTCCATTATCAGCTACTTTATACAGAACAACGTCATCTGGATTGTCTGGTGGTGAATGACTTTTAATATTTTTTAATATTGGGTCTTCTGTACTAGTTTCTGATATTACAGAAATTTGTTGTTCTGGAATATTTGTTACCTCATCAGGAGGTTTAAGATTTACAAGGTTCATACTATCTGTGAGCTGAAAATGTAATGCATCTTCTTTAGCTAAAATATCATAAACATTCTCTGTTAATGTTATATAGTTTCCATCACCATTTTCAATAAGTATTGGTATATCAGTAGGAAGACCAGCTCCTCTTAATGCATTTATATACCTTTCTGAATTTTGAGTTTGGGTCTCAATGGGTTTTTGTACTTTGGGTTTGTTATCAACAAGTTTATCATTTTTTGTTAGTAAACTAGCTAATAAAGGAGACCGATTAACATCTTCATCTGCTTTTAAATCATTAATTGTCATAGATTTTTTGACACCATATCGATTATCATCAATAGAATCAGCCGGTCTTTTTCTACTACGTTTATATCGTTGTTCCAATTCTTCATCGACTTTCTGATTTGAATTATCCAGGCCATTACTAATAGGGGTATTAGGATTATTGACATTTGTTATATTGCTATCATTGGTTTTATGCTTAGTAGGTGATACGTATGTTTGATTAGAGCCCGCTAAAGACAACAAAATTTGGGCAGATTCTGTTTGAGGTGGCGTGATAGGAGCTGGTTTGTTCACAAGTGGCTCACAACAAGGACTTTGAAGATGAGCTTTAGGTCGACCGCGACCAGCACATGGTCGCCTTTCATTTGTTGGATTATTTTGTCCAAGGCGAGCTATTACAGCTAAATAAATATTAAAAAAATATATATATAAAATTACTAATATGTTAATTAAAATATAATTATTATTAAAAAAAATTATAGTAATAAATAAATTTATAAATTATAAAAACATATGCTATACATACAGACAGGAGAAGAGAAATTCCCATTTTCTGCTATTTTAGGTGTGACTGGAGAAGATGAAACTTGACATATTCTAGTTTGTGTTGTTGTAGTACCTATAAGTGATGGTGGTTTAATAGATTTTGAATCTTGTAAACTATCATGGGCCAGAGAAGATAAACCTTTCACCTAAATATAGAAAAATAATTATAGTATAAAATTTAATTAAATACAAAATGATATAGCTTTCTTAATATATATATATATATCACTTATTATCTGTTTACAAGCATAAGTCTCTAATTTTTATTTTTATTAATAATATAATTGAGATCCTTAATAAAGCAATATTTATTCTCAATTTCAATACTAAGTTTAATTTGATATTAAATTATTTATTTATTTTATTAATGCTACATTATACAAATTAAACTTTTCAAAAAAAAAAATTTACTGTCTGGATGAACTTATAACATGTATCTTATTGAATGTGATGCTATTCCCTGTCCATATGATTAAAAAAATAAGTGAAAATAATAACATTTTTATACCACTGTAACCCTTATTATAAATTTTGATATTAATGGAGAATTAATAACTAATATTATCAGAGTTTGACATCATTTACATACAGCTCACTCTTATTAAATTAATCTCCTTATTGTACTTTACACAAAGAAAATGTGATAAATAACTTTTCACATTTCTTTATAAACTGCTTATATTTACTAATTTCATTGAAATTTTTTAAGTTACTAGATGGTACAGCAACATTATACAAATTAAATGAAATCTAAAATATTGCTATGTAGCACATTATTCCTGTCCAAGGTTAATTGGTTTAATCTTATTGTAATGTAATCATTGAAACAAATACAATTTGAAAAAAATTAATTACTTTTTAAGAAAATTATATTTTAACCAACCCTTTAATGTACCACATAAAATATTTACTACTTTAACTTTATTATTTAAATGACAAACTTTGTTTTATAACTTATTATAAATTATTTACAGCAGAAATTAAATTGAAAAATATTTTTAATTATGAAAACTCTGGATAAAAGTGTAATCTATTTATTGTTGTATAATTAACGGTAAAAAATTTTTGTCAATCTAAAATTATGAATGATTAAAATATTTGGTATTCAATATTACAAAGAATAGCATGCTTCAGTTATTAAGTCATTTTACCAGTAATAAAGTAAAGAAAAAAACATTAACATAATTAATTATTTACAATTGTGCTAATATAACTACGAAAAATGTATACTGTTTATTAAACTTATGATTTGGCAGTTAAGAAGCTAACAGATATATTTACTATAAGTAAACTCTTAGATCAAACTAAAAATCTTACAATCAACAAGATTATGTTTTAGATTTGTTATAACCAAATTTTTTTATTCACTCAATTTATGATCATGTATTTAACATGATCATAAAATTTTAAATTAACTAAATAATGAATATTTCATAGAGTGTAGGGAATTCATGATGTGAGTATTTTATACAATTAATATAGTTCATTGTTCTCTATGTAAATATTCTAGAAACTTACATAAAATTTGATTTGAACTTCATATAAATGCTAAAAACAAATTAATTCCAATTAAGGAAAATAAAAACTTTGAAGTTGTCAAATTGAAATACCTTTTTTCAAGATACTGTCTTTTTTTACTCACAATACAATTTATGTTTACCAGTAAACATTCAGTAATGAATAAGAATTTATAAATTCTACAGAGGGATTGTTTAACTATAAATCACACAATATCTTAAAAAGAATAAAATATAAAATAATATTTTTTTCCATAAGTTAATATCCTAATTTCTAGAATTTTCGAAAAATATTTGTTCTTATCGCCATCATTCCAATTTAAAATTTTATTAACTTTTGTTTTCGAAATAGAAAAATATATGTTTAATCAACGTAAAAATTAAAAAATTACTAGACAATAACAACTTTTGAACCAGTATTTTAAAATACATTAATATTAACTTGGCTAAAGAACTAATATGGTTCTTAGAGATAAAAGTACACAGAACCACACTTTATAATAAAATGTGTAAATAGGTTCTAAAACACTGGTTAAAAAATTGTATAAAATCAGTTATTTTTTTAAGGCAAGGGAAAAGAAGAAGAACCAGTCATTTTTCAGTAGAATTATTTTCTTAATTTTAATCTGGTAACATATATGTCTCCATTTAAAAACTAAATTGATAAAATTTTAAGGGGAAAGAATAAAATTTTAGAACATAACATATTATTTCTGAAAAGAAAAATTATGTCATGGTTTCTATTTTTAATGTTACCGATAAGTCATAGTTAAACTATCAACCTATATATCTAAATAATAAAAATTGTTTTTAACACACAAAATCAGTTCAACAAACAAACATAACAGTATAGAAATAAGATTAATTTGAGAGGAAAAAATTATAAATTTGAAAACATAAATTATTTAATTATAAATTAATGATAATTATTAAAAAAGTTACATTGTATTTTTTAATACTATGAAGTTTTTAATAAAATAGAAAAACATACCTCAAAAAATTTAGCTGCTTCAACTAAAGCTTGTAAATTATCTTCAGTGACATTTGTTTCACCACAATACATAAATTCAATCAAAGATTTAAGAACACTGAATTTCATATCTTTAAGGACAATCATTGGATGATTTCCAAGTTCACGCTATAAATGTAATGAATAAATAAAATTATTTTCATTCACAATTTTTTAGTCTAGCAGGAATGAATTTTATTTTTAAATTCCATACCTGACTAAGAGTGTGGGTGTACATAGTTTATTTAGAGACCGTATAATTTATCAAACACCCAGTAATTTAATTGTTATTTTTTACTAATGGGAATTTTAGGAGTAAAAGGAAATGAACCTCAAAAAACCTCTTTATCTACTTCTTCCTAGCACATAGGATTATAGTTATATTAGAGATATATTTATAGAAGGTTGAATATATAACACCCTCCCATTATTTTTATAATAAATTGATGAACCTTTATTAAAAACCTGCAGTTTATAATAAATCTCAACTTCTTCCTTATTAAGTCTATTTATATAATAAGTTTAATCAAACCATTATATTTAAAAACAAATTCAGAATAATGTTTAACATTTTTATGATTTCCCAAACCATTTTAAAAGTCTCTTACTTTTTCTAACTTATGACAACTAATGTTAAATATCAAACTTGTTTAAAAATTTTTTTTAATTATTTTCAATCTGACGAATATATAAAACTTGAATAAATACACTAGTGTATGTAAAAGTGACACATAACACTTTTTAAGCTGCTTAATAGTGATAAAATTTTAGTTTTTAAGTACAATTTTATAGACAGAAAACCACATAATTTATCATATCTCCAAGCATTTCATAATCAAAACATTTCTCTGAATAGTGTATACCAATAAATAACACATTAGGTGATAAAATCGGTTAAATTTAAGACCAAGTTAATTTTTTAAAAATAGAAAAATGTGTTCAACACTTTATATTTAAAAGATAATTGAACAATTTCAAGAGAGGAGTTAATTATATGATTTTTAAGTGAAGCTACTGTGATACACAGTATTTCTAAAAGAAATTTTACAAGAATTTTTTAATGGTATATATTAATTTAAAATATTGTTAGTAGATATGTGCTATACACTGCTAAAACACTACTGCTCAGTTGTCTACTTAGATAAATATAATTATACAAAAAATTTTAACTTCTAATATTTTTCATTTGTAGGAATTTAAATGATTAGGATAGTTTATACTTGGATACCCTCTTAAGAAAAATAAAAAATTATAGGAAGTTTACATTAAAAATTAAATAGTTGCTTAAATAATCATGGGCATTAAAATATTTTTGATACATAATTACCTCAAAATATGGACTACAAGCTGCAAGAACTGATCTATGTACTTTTAAACTATGAGTATTACACATAAGAGTAACATCAACTAATTGTTGGCGCTCTAAAAGATATCCTAGACGAGCTACTAAATGTGTTGAATGATCATCCCATGAAACCATGAACCGAGTTGGATTTCCCATCTAAAAATTTGAAAGCATATAAGAAAGATGACATTATGATTATTAAAAACATTATGGTTAATGTTAAATTCTTATTGTTAAGATTTATTAACTTTTAAAGAAAACCACAATACAATTTTTTTTTTAATAAGTTTATTATCTTAATTTAAGATTTTAACACTAATCTTTTATTTAATATGTATTTTTTATAATGAACTAATTAATAATAATTTTTACTATACTGCACATTGTTACAACTTGATTTGAACTTGAATTGAAATTAAATTTAAAAATATTTATACAAATTCTTATTGTATTACTTCAAAATAGTTTTTTAATTATAATTGCATGTTATAACAGAACTAATCAAGACTAAATCATCTTAAACCACAGAATAAACCATTAACTAGGTATAAGGTATCTGATATAGATAACTTAAGCTTAATAGAACACATTCCTGACTATAATATTGATAGCCAGAGGCCATTTACTATTTTGGAATAAAATAAGACACTATTTTCATATATTGTTCAAACATAATATAAAATGACAACAAATATTAACAAAATTTTTTTATCAATTATTTATAAAACTTTTAATATTATACAAGTTACATGATACAGTGAACATCATTTGACTAATAAATTTGTTCTAAAATAGAAACAATTTAGAAAATTTTATTTTTTGATTATTTAAGTAGTATTTTTCTTTCAATTTTTCAGTGGTTAGATATGTCTTATGTCTATTCCTTCTAAGAGTACCAATTTTATTTTTTCAACTGGCAAAATGCATGTTTAACTAGTTCATGTAATAGAAAATGATCCAACTAAAAAAATAACTGGTCGATAACAACTATTCAACCAGTAGTTCAGAAGTTATGATAATTTATATAAATGGATGGAGGAAGTAGTGATGCTTCATAATAAAAATAAAAAATTCATCTCCACTCTGTAATAAAAAATGTTAATAATTCCTGGTATACTAATTCAAAAGTTGTTTTCGTCCAATTATTTTCTATTAAATAAATTACATAATTATACATGTTGTAATTAAAAAAAATAAAGTTGGTATCCTTATAAGGAAAAGGGATATATCTAAAAATATTTAACCACTCAAATATCAAGTAATAAATACATTTTTTTCAAAATCATTATTTTTTTAGGAGAAATTTAGTAGTCAACAATAAATTTATCACTCTGTATAGAATTATAAAAAAATAATTAAAACTTAAACTCCCTTTAACTTTAATAAGGAATGTAGTTATGTTCTAGTGGTACTATTTTGATCAAATTAAAAATCTCTATAATATTTATACAGAATCATTTTTCAAAAAACTACAGTGACAGATTCATTTTAAAACTATTAGAAAAATTCAATGAGAAATATACTAATAATCAAAAAAAAAATTTTAACCTGATAAAAAATAATTAATTTTAAAATAATTTGACTAATAAATGGAATTTCAATTGTAGTAAAAAAGCCTATTTGTATTTTTTTTTTTTTATGTTATACTTGTTTTTAAAAACAACATTCGAGTGAAGTTTACCTTTATATTGATTTGTGAAAAACTATTCCAGCGACATTGGAACTTGAGAGTTGATACAGATCCAGTAACAATTTTAAACAATCAATAGCAAATTATTTAATTTGGGCTATATTACAGTCGGATCAATTCGATCGCCCTGCAAATAAGTCAACGACGACGTGGATCGCACAGACGACGATGACAACGACCGCGACGACCACCACATTATCAAAAAATCAACACAACGTTATAAATCAAAACACTCCTCAGTCGATGGGACTACAAAATGCTGTTGCAAATTTATCCAAAAAATATTTTCACGAATTCTATTTCGCTAATATCTTCTTCAAACGTCCACAATAAAGTGACGCGATCTTCGAAAACTGATGACAACTTTCGTCTAACTTACACAAAAAAAAAAAAAAACAAAAACGTCAACGTTCGAATAATTACATCAATAATTATGTACGCGTTTAACTATAACTTATTCAAAAATATCATTTTGAACCAATCTTGATTAATTGTACAACTTAATTAACATTTTTAAAACTTATTCAACATAATATTAATAAATAATATTATCGCTTATTTTGTACGGTCGTCGACGTTCACTGTCCTCAAGGGGGGGAAACACCGTAAATCCGTTTGTTTTTAATAATATTGACCAACATTAACTCCGAATGTAACAGTGTTGACTTATGTACGTGTGTATGTGTGTTAGTACGAAAAAGAAAACTAAAACACTGAGAACGAATGTACCTATGTATATATTGAGTATATGCATAGATGTATGTGAATATGTATATATATATAATGTATATACATATACGAAAATTATACTACGAATGTTCAGGGATAATCGTGATTGCGAGTGTGTGTGTGTTCAACATAGAAGGATTGGCATTGAAGAGGAGGTGCGATGTCTAATGCGCGTGCGTGCAAACTGCGTAAGCATCGCGGTTGCCAACCATTAGGTTAGTGCAATTCCGGGCAATGACGTCACCTATTTACTCAATAAAGTATACAAATTTTTCAAAATAAATATTTTAATAAATAAAAATTGTTTTATTCAATAATATCGTTGCTTATAGTGCAATAATGTGTATATAATAATTTGAAAAAATTACATTTTTACCAATAAAGATAAAATAAATGTTTTTAAACATTTTTTTCTAACACATATTTTTTATAAAATTCATAGTGTTAATGTAAGTCATGGAAATATAATCACTTCTTGTGTTACTATATGTATTATTCAAATTGTTATTTAACTATCCTAAAAAGATACGTACTGTTTTCGTATGAACGTTAAAATTTTTTTCTGCGCCAATAATATAACACCACCCATTTTTTTTATACTACAATCTACACAGAATAGAATAGACTAATAACAACTTTTATAATTTTTTATACAATTAAAATTTCGCTATATTTAAAAAAAAAATTATGCATTCTTAAACTACGTTAAAATCATATTTTGTATTATATGTTTTAACATTAAACAAATTATTTTTTTATTATTAAAAATAAATTACATCGAAGTGTTATTGTATCAAAGTTTTAAGAGTTGTCAATTAGATATATTCCACTCTGTATATACATAAATAATAAATATAATAATAATAATATCCAATATACATTTTTATTTGGCATTATCATTAAAAAAATATTTCTACAATTTGGTATTTTATTTCTAAAATAAAGTATTTTAGGAATAATATTACGAATTTTTTAATAGCGATATTTGACAACGCCAAATATATTGTAGTGAACAATTAATAGCACACACAAAAATATATTTTCTAGCAAATGTATGGAAATATATTGAATAAGCTAATACTGTTTTTTTTTTGTTGCAAGGCTTTGGTAGATGGCAACTTAGGCATTTTTGCCAGTCTAATTTTTAATGAAAACGGGTTCCAGTCAATTCGCACTATTGCTGACCGGACCATATTTTAAACAAGTCCATTCTTCGTTAAAAGCCGGATATATAATAATTAAAAAAATAAAGTACAAATTGATTTTTATTCAATGAAAAATTCATTTAATATTTCATATTTAATAATTTAAAATACAAAAAAAACCCATTTATTGCCTATGTATCTCTTGTTATCATAATCAGAAAAAACAGATTCTTACTTGACAAAACTGTTTCTCAAATAGCCCAAGCCTCTGAAGTAGTTTTCCGAGAATTAATTTCTGAGGGGTAATAATAATTATCCTGTACGATAAATATACAAATCTATTTATAAAAGTCATCTTATTGCAACTTTATAGTTTAAGTAGAGAAAGAATCCTACTTCTTTTTATTAAATTTAAAATTATTATAATTAATTAAAATATTAAGTAATTAATAATAATAATTAGTGGTATAATAAATATTAATAATAAAACTGTTTTATATAACAAAAAAAAAAAATTAATTCAATGAAAAAATTATTGCTTTCTTATAGATTTTATTGAATTAATAAACATATGTATAATTTTGAATAAATCTTATTTATAAAGATGATAATTTATATTATTTACTTTATCATACTATTTATTATTATGTTAATAATTAAATTTTTTATAACAATAAAGAAAATATTGGTCTGATAATATCACTTCATTATGAATGTATAGTGCACTACAATTATTTAATAAAACTATTAATGTAATTTATACTTTATTGTCGTCATAAATTCTTTATCATGACAATTAAGTTTTTTTTTGAAAAAATTATAGTTTTATTCCTACAAATTTTGCATTACTGTATTAAAAATATATTTCTAGGTTCAAATTTGAAAAATCATCATTAGCATCCTCCGTATTTTTTCCTAACTTTGCCTCTTAATTTACTGATAAACTCGCTAGCAAATATTCGTCAATGTTTATCCCAAATATATTTTTTACATATAATCTCTCTATATTGTGTCGCCTCCATTTGATGTAAGACATGATAGTAAAATATATTCCAATTTTTTATTTAGGGGAAAAATATTCGATATTGATAGACATATAAATTAATTTACGTATATGTTTATAAAATAAATGGTTCAGTTCATCTCGTACGAAACTATGATTTTAATTTTTTAAATCTTAGCGATAACTTATCTACTTGTTTCCTCCATGATGCGCTAAACACATCATAATCAATTCAATGCAATAGTGCACCTCTTGTCTATTGAATACAGTTACTGAGTTCAATTGACTTAGTGGTGGCAAGTTTTTGAACGTAGGCCTATTAAGTTTTATGTGCTATGCGCGTGTATATGTACTCTTACGATGTTAACGTTATTCATTGATTATCGTGAATAAAATACTTCTTATAGTAGCTTTAAAACTTAACGTTCACTTTGTCAAAGTTTATTTATGCTAAATTCTTGACCTTTTTTTAAAAAATAATTTAAAAAAATAAGAAAAGGAAATGTGTAAATAATTTATAACAATGATATAGAATATTAATATTATAAAACATCCTCTTTATTTGTTTGGAGTCCCCAAGTAAATCTTGATAATTGGTCGAAAATACAAAATATTGTTACTAATTGGCTCCAAACAAATTTTACTATTATAGTATAGTTTAACTAAATAATCTAACTAGTTAGTTAGATAAAAGGTGAATTTACTTTTCATCACATCGGTACGATTTTAATTTCCATAATTATTTCGTTGAGTTATGGGAAAAAAATGAGAACTTAGTGAGCCAAATATAATTTTAACAACCTTAAGATATTTGCTCTAGTTACGCCACTGAATATTATACACAAGGTGATTAATTAACTTGGCCTCGCACAATATCATTAAAAGTATAAATCATATTATGAAAATTACATATTATAAACTCTCAGTTGAAATAGTATTAACTTGAGCTTAATAGAAATACACATGTTTAATTAGCTTAAAATAAAAAAATGACTGACAATAACTTTTAAACGAGTATTTTGGAAATTATTAACACTTTAATAAACAAAATGATCGGTTTATTATAAATCGACTACTAACAAAATAAGTACAATGCTGAAAAAACATGTTTTGCTTTGTTTTAATTACATGTATTTCTTGATTTATGAGCTAATAATTAATTTTTAGAATAATATCTTTTAACTTTATTTTTTGAAATGACATAATAATTAGCTAGTTTATTTAATAGAAAATGATCTAATTAAAAAGTTACTGGACGATAACAACTTTTGGACCAGTACTTTGAAAGTCATTCTCATTTGTATATCTAGTGATAAAAATATCAGCACCCATTCTTTAGCTTTAGTGATTGATTAAGGATCATTAAAGTTAATATTCAGTGACTATAACTGTTTAATTTGCATGTGGTTATGGTTTTATTGGAACAACATTCAACCAAAACCATTCAATTTGTATGGGTTCAGTTTTAGTTAGAAAAAATAGGTTATAACCGGTTTCAGAAAACCAATTTTTATCTCTGGTTAATATAGATATAGAAATAACAAAATATTCTTAACGTAATTTTANAACCATTCAATTTGTATGGGTTCAGTTTTAGTTAGAAAAAATAGGTTATAACCGGTTTCAGAAAACCAATTTTTATCTCTGGTATAATATAGATATAGAAATAACAAAATATTCTTAACGTAATTTTATTTTATTTGAATGTTTTATTATTTGACCGTTTTGTCCTGTATTATTTATTTATTCGCTTTTTGAATTGAACGTTTTAATTTTGGATATTTTGATCTAATATCAAATAAACATACTCGGGCTTCATTTCCAGTCATCATAGTAAAATGTTAATAGCTTTTAAAGTACTTGTTCAAAAGTTGTAATTGACCAGTCATTTTATTAGCTAGATTATTCTCTTATTTTTAAGCTAGTTAAACTTACATATTTCGATTTAGAAAACTCAAGTTGATACTATTTGTAATGGGAAAAAAGGGTTAGGATCATTTTATTTAAATTATAGAACCTAGAATACTATTTATTTATGAAAAAAGAATTATATTTTTTATAATTGTACAAGGTACAGATAATCAATTACCTCCAAGAACTACCACAAGAAACACACACACATATATATATATCAAGGGAGGTGTATTTGGGAGGATTCATCATGATTTTTTCTCGTGTGCAATCATCAAATTAGATTTTAAATTACATGATAATATTTTGGTATTCACTCACACTATATGAATAATTGATATTTACGACTTTTATATAACTCTAAGATTATGGTGAACACATTTTTATGTTTTTATGTGGATAAATACTTACAGAACATAAATCAAGACTATAATTTTTATAATTTAAATAAATATGAACAAAATAAAGTTCAACAAATTTTAGTATTAATTCTATATAAATGTTTATTGTAATTTAATAATGATTTAGCACAAGTTAAAGATTTAACATTTTTTGGCATTGTCTTATGCAAATAGTTAAGTAAAGTTGATGATGAATTAATTTCATATATATTTATTATTAAAGCTTTATTAAACATCATTAAATATACTAGAATACAACATTATGAATTAATGTTTTTATGAGACTAGATATTTTAAGAAATAATTATTTTTACATTTTCATGAACACAACAAGTGGAACACACTAATTTCCTATGGAAAATTTAAATATACATTTTAAAATTTTAAATAAATTAGTTTTTAATCAGGAATGATTTATTTATGTATTGCACTTTAAAGACAAGTTTAAAAATAATTATACTAGTAAAAATCTACTGAACAATATTTCATATTTTATAATACAATAAAAAAGGTTTATATATAAAAAAATTCAAGATAGGACAATACAATTTTAAAATGTTACTAGTAAAGAATAGATAATTTAGATATTCAATGCAATCAAAAACATAAAATACTTGGTAACTTTTTATTTTCTCAAATTAAATACTATTTACATAAACCAAATGCGTTCATTAATACTTAATCAATCAAATAGATATTTAAATTGATTCATTTATAAAATAGATTTTTTTATAATATCTATGCCACATATTTATTAATAATATTTTATGGTTAATTTTTATTTAGTATAAAAATAAAGGGAATTTGAGTTAGTTATTTATAAATTGTTTAAAACACAATTTATCAAAATGAATTTTACAAAATTAAAAAAAAAACAATATAACAACTGTTTACATATCTTATTAAGATTAATTTTCTCTATATAATCAAATTCTTTATGTACCTTAAACAAGTACAAAACTTCTTATACTACATAATTAAAAGAAAAAAAATTGGCACAATGAGTCTTATAGGCATATAATGATTTAAATAAAAATCTAATTTTATTTTTAAAACTAATGTTGAGACAAGAAAAAACTATTATTTGAAATTGTACATAGAGTAAGTTTATCAGAATATAAATTCAGTTTTTCAAATAAAATAAACATATTTCACAAGGGTCTAGAGAAATATGAATAAAAAAATATTTTCAGTTAACATAATTAAGTAAATATTATTGATTTTAATAAAATCAAAATTAATTTGTTCAATAAAACTGATTGATTAATTAGTAACATGTTAATTTATAACAAGTACTTTATTCATATAGTATTAATAATAATATTGTTCATTTGCTAATTTTTCAATTTAAATGAGAGCATAATAACAATTATTTATAAATTACATAATTCATAATCATATGGATCAAATATCTTTTTATAAATAATAACAGTATAGAAAATATAAATATATAATTACCAGGTTCGATAAAATAAATGTGACACTCCAAGTACAAATAAATAATACTATTGTTTATAATAAGTATTAAAGATGGCAGCAGACTAATTTCGATTAAAAAACCGAAAACATTAATGTTTTCAATAGTCACTACAAAAAAAAAAAAAAAATTAAGTAACAATATATCAACTACACAGCCAGGTGAAAATGTCTTGAATATCCAATGGTAAATTTTGCAGCTTCAAGCATTGATAACCCTTAATCATGCATAAACACAAAACATTTTTATCAAAGATATTATAAATATGAAATTAAAATTATTTAGTCAGTTATTGTTAGTAGGTTATAAAATGAAAAAGGTATATTATAAGTATACAATATTAAGCACAACATTTTGACACGTATAATAACTTTTCAAAATAAAAATAAAATTTCATCATTTTTTCCTTTTGTATGCATATACTAATTTTTAAAGTAAGTACTTTGAAAAAAAATATGTTAATTTTTACCCTTTTAATTGCAATTTAATATAATAACTAATATGTAATAAAGAAAATGATTAGTTAATAAAATATGTTAGAAAAGTATTTGAAAAATAATTAATTATTTTAAATGTAATCTTGAGTTTTCTGAAGTCATATAAACAATGAATCATAACACATTTTTTCTATAGGTTCAAAAATTTAATTTTTACTCGGATTTATAAAAAACCGTGAATATGTCATTAGCTGTTTAAAAAATTTAGTTAATAAAATTATAAGGTATGAAAGATTAGAATAAAAAGAATAAAATATATTTTAAAATTTATGAGAATTAGGTAATTAAAACTTTTAAAAATAAATGTAAATTTATAGCAACACAAATCAATTTCTAAACATTTGAAAAAAAAAGTTGTATTAGTTTGATACGGTTTCATGTTATTGACTATTATTATTATTTTTATTATTTTATTTACATTTATAATTCATATTTTATTTGATTTAAGAATAATTGTATTTTACTAATGTATTTACTTTCATACAAAAATTAATTTGGTTTAATAGTTAACACACAACTATTAATAATTATTATGAAAGAATATAAAATTATGAATATAAAAAACTGTTATTTAATAAGATATTTATGTTAAAAGCTTTTGGATTTTAATATTTTAATTTACAAAAATATAAAAAACTATTTTAATTTTAGCCGACTGTACAATTTTTTGTTAATATATATAGATATAAGGTTAATATTATGAGTTATTATTTTAATATTTAAAATCCATGTTATTAATGCAGTTATAAGCAATTACGCTAAAAAATAGTGAACACATAAAAAAACCAGGCTACTATATGTTTAAATTACTTTTAAATACCAAATTTTTGTATTTTAAAAGCAAATAGAGAATCGATTTCTGCAAATATCTTAACTCAAATTACAAGTAATATTTGATTAAAGTTGAGCTGTAAATTTGATAACTATAGTTGGTTTTATTACAATATTAACTTGAAGCCATAGAGGAATATATAGCAGCATTGTAACTGTACCTGTTGGAAATAGGTAAGGAGTTATTTTGCACATCAGCAATCAACATTTCTGTTTCGTCATCAGTTTCTTCAAGTGCATTATTAGAATTATACTCTGAATTTTGAATAATTTTTGACTTCAATAAACGTATATATGTCTCATACCGTTTTAACTATAAGAAATAAATGTTTAGTTTATTCATGAGGATAGGAAATAATAATTAGCATTATATTACTTCATCTATTAAGTGAGCTTCTTTTTCTTTAAAAAATTGAACACTAATGTTTTTAGAACCACATTCAGAGGGTTTTCTTTGGTGAATTTTAAGTTCATCTTGAAGTTGTTGTAATGTATTTTCATGTTCTTGTAGTTGTTCACGCTAAATTTTAAATATACTTTTTATGGTAAGTGTGTCATAAAACTTTTTTTATACAATATTCTAAAATTCAATAATTTAATTTATAACTACGTTTAAAATCAGCATACCACCAGCAAATCATTATTTTTGCTAAAGCAGACATAGGATTTGTTGTAATACGATAAATGTTGTGCTTTTCACAACATTTATTTCCATAATTGTTCTTATGGCTTCCGATTCCTCTCTCCTCATAACATGATGAAACCATCTAAGTCTATTTTCTTTCATCTTATCTACGATTGACATTACACCTATACTTACTTTTATATATTCGTCCTTAATAGTAATGCTTTATCAACACACAAATGTCGTTTATTCATTTTTTACATAAATGCCAAAGTTGCAACACTTTTACCACAGTAACTTTGTTGTTAATCATACAATTAACAAGAAATTCAGAAACGTGAAATTTTAATGTTATTTCTTACAAATAACAAAGTGGATTTGATGTTACTAATGCCATCTGAGAGGTAGTCCTTAGACTTAACAATAGAAGAGTTTTATGATATATACAAGGGGTTAGAGGAAAATTTCAGAAGAGTTATTTGAAATATTTGAATCTCATAAGGTCTAATATAAATGTAGCATTGAAATATTTCTTTTTAAGTTGGAATTAATTTTGAAAAAAATTGACTTTTACTAGTTTTGCTTTTACCCTCACATAGGTAAGTTAAATTTTTAATATTAAAGTTTCAATTAAATTGGTATATAATAAAAAGAAATATTTAAGTATAAACAAAATTGTTAAAATACTTTAACTTTGTTTTAACAAATAATTCTTTTCTTAATCAAAATTGGTAAAGTATCTTGTAAAATTTCTTAAAAATATATAAATACATTTAATAGTTAATATTAAAAGTAAAAGTAAATGGAAAATTTTTCTCTAATTTAAAGAACAAGAAAATATTTGATTTTTACCAGTATATTTTTTGGCTATCAAAAAATTTAATATATATTTCAATTACAAACCAAATTTAATTTTGTTGGAGCTGATGGTAATAAAGGCCTTTGAAATTTTTTCTGGTTTCCCACAGCACTTGGTAATCTAGGTGCAGAAAAACTAGCACATACAAAGTTAATTGTATTTATCCAGGAATCTAACTCTTTAGCATCACTAAAATGAAAATAAAAGATTCGAATAATTAAAATATTTTATAAATATTGAAATTACTTTTCGCTGTACCTAGTTTGAAACAAATACTCCGCTTGGTCAGCAGTAATAAGTCTGAAAACATGTTGTTTTTTTGTATAATCAATAGCTTTAGTAGCTAAAGCATGGTGTATATGTATTGCATTATGAATGCTATCGCTAATTTGAGTTTTTTTAAAACCAGAATCATCTTTATGTAAGTAAAGAATAAGGTCACGTAATGTACAAAAATACATTTTCCAGCCTCTTTTTCCTCTAGCAGCTATAAGTGATTAATATTAAATGTTAAAAATTTCTCAATAATATAATTGATTGTCACTACTTTTTTTTCCATTAGCTTCCTTACAACATTTTCTCATAACATAGCCTTTTTTATGTTCCAAAGCCTGAGTCATGATATTTTCTTCATAATCATTACTTTTTTGGTCAGATAGTTTATTTCCAAAGCCATCTGATTGATTGGCATTAGCTATTTTAATTTGATTTTCATCTATGTCATCATCACTAAAATATTAAAAGGGAAATGATATATTTTTTCACTTTTAATAATAAATTGATCAAAATGATGTAGAAATCAAAAAGTTAACTTTGATTAATAAAATAATTTCACAAAAACAAATCAATATAATATTTTATTATTAACCATGGGTATTTCAAATATCAGAAACGAGGGATATATATATATAAAAAAAAAAAAAAACAAAGAAAATACAGTCTCTAAAACTTATAATAAATCTTACATAACTTTCCATATACTATTTATTACATGGTTCATTTTATATAATTTATAATGTTTTGGTACAGAATATGATTATTAGTAGTTGGTTATTATTAGTAGGTTATAGACTTTAATTTAATTTAAGAATATTTTGATCCCCTTAAATAAACTTTTAAGAAATTTGGTATTTAATGATTTTTTTCAAACTACAATTATATTAGAATATACAATTTTGATGAAAATTGTATTAAAAACTAAGAGAGAGTTTTAGGTTAACTAATGTCAGACAACAAATTGGACTAAAAGTTTATTATAAGCTTAACACGAATGTTTCATAAAAAAATTTTACCTGGCCCATTCAAGTGGATTGGTTTTGATTGCCATGTATAATGATTTAAGTACATCTCTAGGAAAATGTTCATTATCATTAAGTCCTGCTAGATTTTCAATGAACTCATTACATGTCATTTTTCGCCCTATCATTTGACCATGTAAATCAGTGTTTAGTAACATTATAGCACATGTTAAAGTATGAACAGCATCTATAAATAAACACATAGTTTATATATTTATTGGAAAAGGTTTAAACTAAACAATATTAAAACATAACACACTGATACCAAGTACTACTATTTTATAATGACATGGTATCATATTTTTCTCAACTGCATACCATATTATCAGCTTACATAAAAGTGTATTATTATTAATATGCAAATCATAAGTATACAATAGCTTAGTGGAAAAGATTGTCAATACAACATATTAGGTCACGGATTCTAATCCAATACTGCACCTCTTTTTCCTTGATTAAACTTTCTATGTCTAATTTTCATTCTTCAGCAGCCAGATTACAATTAATTATTTACTATTAAAAAGTTGTTTTGTTTTCTAAGAGTAATATATATATTTCTTTCATTTATAGATATTTTACATTGAAACTTTGGTATCTTAGACCATTAGTTATTCCATACATTTAATATTACTAATTGGTAGTTTGTAATTTTTATGAAAATTTTACACATATTTTTTCAATACTTAAGTTTTTAATGAACATATACAGAATGTTCAGTAAGTAAGGAAACAGGTTTCTATTGATCTCATTGCTTGTAACAATTTACCAGTTTTTATTTACTTACTGAACACCATATAGAATACTGCCTGGGTTTGGATTATTACTCTTGCATTTAGACAGTATACACATTATCTCTTAAATGGTTATGGTTTGTATTTGATCAGTATTGTTTTGAATTAGTTTTTTTTTTCAAATTCACATTTTTTTTTTGTTGTATTGCCTGAATGAATGTCATAATTTTTGTCTCTATAATTGTTATAAAATTATTCATCTAATGTTTTGACTATTAAATTTTGACTATTGTTATCTATTAGTATGTTTAAGTTTTCAACAATTTTTTATTTCTTTTGAGCCATTAGAAAGCTTGGATTTTACTTCAAATAAGTTTGCAATTTACCTGTTCATTTATACTGTTAATAAATTTAACCCAAGAGTTTTTTTACTATCTTTTAATTTTTCTAGTTTTTTATATCTATTTTATAGTTTATTTTTTTTTTAATAGTATTTTTATTTTAGTTTTTCCAATTGTTATTCCTACTATACTATTTATAGTATCAGAAAATATTTAAATAAAATTATTAATATTAAGGGATTCTATTACATTTTTTATTTGTACATATAAATACAAATAAATCTTATTATATATTAAAAAATAAAAATATAATGCTGGAAAAATTACTCAACGACATTTTCAAACAATATTTTTAAACATATTGTGAATGTTTAAAAATTTTGTTTAAATTTTATATTAGTGTATGTAACTTTCACTGATAACATGGTATTTAAATATTATTTTTAATGATTATTAAATTTTCTTTTGTCTATCTGTCGTTTGGAATAATAATTAGTAGATTACTATGAAATACAATTGTGAATACACCTAAGAATTTTTTTTTTATCATATTATTATTTTTTTAATTACTATTTAATTTAAAAGTAGGAATAATTTTCTGGTAAACTTTTTTTGGAGTAATACACCTTTTGACATAATATATATTGTATCTGGCATAGACGGGTATTCCAACTGGAACCAGTGGCTTTTATGTAATGATAGCCCAAGATGCCGTAGGCACATAAGGTATACAGGGCAGATCTAGGTCGGAATCTAAACTAGGCAAAGCCAAGTAAATAAATAATTTAGTCAATTTTCATTTTGCAGTAAATCAATAAACAGCCTCAAGTAAAAAGGTTCCATTTTGAAGGTTCCATCTTTTTTCAACATTGATTATGTCAAAAAATATATTATTTTTATTATTAATGATAGATAAAAATTAATTATATAACTTATAATTTATTCCTTAAATCTATTCCAAAAAGTTGTTTCTTTTTTTTTTATTGCAGTCTAACATGATACTAAATATGTAGTTTTTAAATTTAAAAAAAATAGTAACATTAAATAATTTAGTGTACCTTGAGAGTTAAAGCAATGAGGGTTACAATCCAAATATCTTTTAGAGAAATGAATTAATACTCTTTCTCGTTCTTGTGTTTCTCCAGTTAAACTGAATTGTTTTAAAAATTGTCTTAGTGCTAAATCTAATGAAATTCCTTTAAAATCAAAATATTTGAGATATTCTTCAGCAACAGCTCTACTAAATTCATTGCTAAAACATATAACTAGTTCATAAAATGGCCATTAAAATTAAAGTTACAAATTATTTTTACTTTTTACTTAGATGACGTGAAACATCACTTTTTTTGAAACCATCTAAATAAAATAACCGTTTAGCTAATCTTATTGCAGAGGGCATATCAACAGCTTTTGGTGAATAATGGAAACTATGTATACTGTCAGAATCCATGTCTTCATTATATTTCCAATTTTCTTCATTACCAGCAACAGAATAAGCTAATTGAGCAGCACTTTCAGTTAAAGCAAGTAAATGTTGAACATCTTCAGTCTCATCATTTGTCTATGGAAATGATTATTAATTTTTAATAAAAAAATAAATATATGAAATGAAATATACCTTATAATTTTGATGACTTTTATCTATGTTTTCTTTTTCAATGTAATACCTGTTATTGTTTTCACTATTTTTTGACATTGATATGTTTGATTTTTCTGGACCTTTAACTTGAATTACAATACGATGATCTGAAAATCTATCTTGAGAATATTTACCTATTTCAGTATTTTTCCTAGTCTTTGATTGATTTGCTAAAATTATAGAGTTATTATCACTAGTATTTGAAATTTCTATTTCTTGAGAATTCAATAAATAATCAGAATCAGCAATATCTCGAAAATCAAGATTAGATATATTCGATTGAGTATTAGAATGAAAAGATCCTTTAATGGACAATTGTTTATCAGATGATTTGGTTATAGGTGAATTAGATGACATAACTTTAGAGAGAGAGTTAAAGGGTGTTAAAACTTCTTTTGGTATATCACCAGAATTGTAGGTCCATAATACTCTCTTATCTTCTACTTCTAATGGTTTTGTATCAGTATTTAATAATGTGTTACAAGATGATGTCATATCTTCTGTATCAATACTCATAGTAGATGAAATTTGATAAATTGTATTAGTTTGCAAAGCATCTTCTGATCGTGAAACACAATTAAAGTTAGAAATACTAGAAAGTGGTGGAGAACTTGGTGATGTATTTCCAGATTTAGGTTTTATTATATTAGTTATTTCATTATCAACTGGACTACTAGGAACAGAACTGGAATTAACTATTTGAGTTTTAATTGGACCTCTATTTTTTACAAGACAATCAATTTTTCTATCTCTTTTAGGAAACAATGATACCTATAAATAATATATATTTTATTAAGAAAATATTCAAAAAATTATTGAAAAAATTATGCTACCTGAGAATTTTTAGACATTTTAATAACTCGATCACCTGTCATCACAAAAGCTTCATATTTTGGCGGTTCAATTTTATCTACATTTGTTCTTGTAACTATTTCTAAGGGTAGTGGATGATGTTGAGGTGGAGGTTGTGGTGAATCCATGTCATGAAATAAAACTTGTGGAGCAATTCTATCTTCTATTAATTTACTATAAACTTTAGTTTTAATTTCAGGATCTATTTAAATAGAAAAAGTTCTATTTTTAATTTTATTCATGAGAATTACTGTGATATGTAAAATATTTACCTCTGATTAATCTTAGTGTTATGGGATTTTTAGCTAATCTCAAGCATTTTAATACTGAAATATTAAATATAAATAACATTTAATTAAATTAGTGTCAGAATAGAAAGAGTTAATAGAGATATAGGATAAGGTTTTTTTAATGAATGCAAAATAAATAAAGGAAAAACACAATTTCTATAAAATAAAGTTAAAATCTATAAAAAAATAATTATTAACAATTATAAAATAAATACCAATATTCACCGTTTATCCAAGGAAACTATTTTTATATAATTAATACTAAATTGTATTACCTTTTCAACTTATAAGGATAAGTATTAGTTATATAGTCATATAAAATAATGAAACTAGAAAATAAAAGTCTACTTCTACTTATCTTCAATGGCATGATTTTTTATTAAATTAAATAACTGTCACAAACACTGCTTTTAATGTAAATTTCACTTTCCTTAGGTAATTTGCACTTTACTAGTACAAAGCTGTGACATATCACTGCTTTTTTTAACAATGCATAACTTTTAAAATATTGATAATAATATTTGAATGTACACACTACATGTTGTAAAGGGTAAACAAAAAAGATGAGTCAAGAGTCCCTGGTTTTGATCTTCCAATGATGGTGTAGACAAAGTTAAACCAGATAAGAACTGAATAAGGAAAATGCAAAAGCCTACTATACAAGTGGAGAATGGATAAATCTTCCTTTTGCTCACGCGGAGCTGATCAAACGATTAGACATATCATCAAAGAGTGTTCTATACACAAAATTCGAAAGTGGAGTGGGGAAAATGCACAAAGCTGGGACATAAGCAATAAATTGGATAATGAACCTGGAGACACCATTATAATGGATTTTCTTATTATTTTCATTTTCAAATTTTAAATGCTTATATGTTTTATTTATGTTATTTATTTATCTATGAATTTATGTATTCTTTACTTTTATTTAATGCTTCATTATTATTATTATTATTTTTAACATTACTATTAATTCTATTAGCTTTATGTAAAATCAAATCAGCCGATAGTCATATGCAAAATAAATAAATAAAAAAGATGATATAGGTTTTTAAAGTTTTATTCCATATAGAAAATTGTTATTGTTAATAGAGAGTTAGAGTTAGAGTATGTCACACCATACTGTATACAATTGTTTTTCATATGGGCCATTAACATTATGATTAATCAAAAATTAAAATACATTTTTAATTGTTATACATTATTTTTCCTGCTGTTTATGTTAGTAGTTCAACTTTATAAACGTGTTTTTTTTTAAATTTTACAGCAAAATAAAGATTAAATAGTAGATTTTTACTTTTTTTTTTATTATTAAAAATAAATTTTTAAAGTTCAGAATGATTAATTATAATGTGTATGAGCAAAATTTTTTTAATATTTGATTTAAAACAGACAAATTTTTATTTAAAATTAAACTGTGTATTATATTTCATTGTATTAGTAATATAACATTATTTTACTGTACTACTTGCAATTTAAAATAATTTGATAAGACATCTTAAGAATAATGTAGACACAAAGATAAGTCTTCACTAAGTTTTTTTGCCAAATAATAAAAAATGATAAACTAATATAATTTTAATAATATTAGTTAATATATATATAATTGTTGCAATTGTAATACCATTGCACCCCCTGGGATTTTAGATGTCAATAAAAAACTAACATACAACTTACAATCCTAGCTATCAAATTTATTAATTTGAATTTGAGTTTTATCAATATAAAATAGATACTGGGGTAACTAATAGAACTTTAAAATCTAAAAGTGTTAATTGAGAGAGACAGGTTGACTTTGTATAGTCTGTGAATATGGGAAGTAAAATTTATAGTCTGTTTATTACTAAGCTTATTCTAAATAGTTAATAATATTAATAACAAAATTATTACTGTACTAGTAAAGGAAGTATTATATAAAAGTTATATTGATTGATATTAGGTCATACTTAGTGGAGTGGAAGTGTATATAAAATTTTATTTTTTGGAGTATTCAAAATTTTTTGGAAGAACCCAATTTTTATTTAGTAAAACCAACCTTACAGCTTCAAAAATTAAAAAAAATTGTTCAATTTTAGTAATTTTGAAAAATATTTAAAATTACCATGCAGCAAATTTTTTTATAGTAATGTTAGTCATTGTTAGATATCATTTGTAATAACTATACTGGTAATATTTTCTTGCTTATGACCCTTTTAAATTACCATTTTCAGTAAAACTTTAAGTCATTAAATAAATTTTAAGAATGAGTATCACGTCTTTTTATCCAATAGGGTATGAAAATTTCCTTGATGCCTTAAACAGAAATTTTTCTGTGGGTATCCCTGGTATGAATAAACAAAATTATATTCAATTTATTTTAAAAAAATAACTTAATGAGAATTTAGAAATTCAATGACTAAACTGTACAAATTTTAAATTATTTTATGATAAATATTTTCACCTTCTTTTATAGAGTAGGAACGGACATCTTCTTGATTTATTTTTACTATTAAATCACCAGCTTCAATCTATTACATAAATGATAAATATTACTCAGAATAATTTAATTAATAAATAATTGAATAGTATGAGTATAGTCACTTTACAGAAATAAGAGAGATCTACATCACTAATTCATATAACCAAAATTTTAAAAACATATAAGGCACTTAGATTTGAAGAGATTAAAGTGACAACAATTAATAAAAAGTTAATTTAATTAAAAAATTGATAACTTTAAGATTTACATTTGATTTAAGGAAACACACTGGAATTAAAAATTCATTGTGATCTTAATTTAATCAAATTGTTTGATATTTAATTTTTTAATTTTGCACTAATTTATTCTTATTTATTTCCTTAATGTCACTTTCTTCTCTTCAGCTTTAGGTGTCTTATACAAAATAAATATTATATTATATATCATTAAAAAATAATAAAAAATTTGAATAATTGACAAAATGTAAATATTGACTTATATATGGGGCTTGACAAGAACAAGTGATTTAAGTACTGAAAATTTAAAAACAATATTTATTACACTAAATCTACATTAATCTGTATATCTACACCAATATTATGATAAAAATTCAACTTCAATAACTATTTATAAATTGTAAAAAGGAGTACCTAAAGATATAGCTGCTAACGGCTCCTTAGGGAAAATGAAATAATTTTCCAAAAAAAATTTTCTGGTACTTAGATTACTTAGCCTTATCACATCTCATACATAGGTTTATTAGTTTTGTAGATAGAAATTGAATTTCTAACTTAAATTATACAAAAATTAAACGATTTTAGAATTATTTTTAATAGCTTGGTTAATAACTTAAATTATACAATTTATGATGTTTAAAGTTACGAAATTAATTCTGAAGTCATGATATGATTAAAAAAATCACCAAACAATAACACTATTGTAATATAAGGTTCTAGTAGTTAATTTATTTCTGACAAATAACATCTTTCTGTTATAACAAATTCAAGTATATTGATTACACAAGTAGTATAGATTGAAATGTAATAATACTTCTCAATAAAAAATAAATAAATAATTACTTGACCGCATTCAGCAGCGGGAGTATTTTCAATCACATCATAAATAACTGGTGGGCAATCGGCTATGCTGAGCAATGAGAAACCTAGTCCAGAGGGCATTTCTGGCTTAGATAAGGTAACCAATATGTCATCGGCCATGATAAAGTAAAACCAAAATAATAAATTAAGACAGCATCGATCCTAAACAAGCTCGTATTTAAAACTTTTAATAGCCAGGTAATATAAAAGAACCGTAACTTGTTCGTAGGTATTAATATTGAATAACACTACTTTTGTATTGCAGTTCTTTAAGTCATGTTAATACAATACGAAAGTGGATTAAAGAAATACAGTCGCACTTTTGATATTTATTTGGCGACATTAACGAACAAATATTTAACAATTATTTTATTTAACGATAATGAACTCTGTTCGACGTCCACAGACACATGATCACTGAATAAAAGGTACAGCAGGCAGTCCATAAGAGCGATAAGGTTGGGCGCCGGTATGACAATGGTTGACGTATAGAATAATTTACTCTATGGATTGACGTCATCAAAGCACAAGAAATAACATAAACAACAACAATGACGTATTCATCTTTATCTTCTTGGTATTGTCATAATGTAGATAAAATCTTATCTATTCTATGGTTGTTATCAGATAACTGTTGGTGAACACACCTATAGTCTTCATCAGTTCATCATGGAAGGATTACCATTTTTTTTTATAACCTAAACATTAAATTATATTCCAGTAAATATTTGTAGGACTACTGATAATACTCTAATTATCATTCCAAGATTTCTTCATATAGAATAAAACATGTCCATTTATAGTCTGACGCAAAGTAGTTAGAAACAAAAACTATAATGTTAATATTATAACTATTATTTTAACAGGTGAACATTTTCTACGTATGATATAGAATAAGTACATTGTGTACGCGGACTTCCATTCTCTATCCAGCTTGGAAGAATACGTAAACCAATACTTCAAGTATTCATCATCTTTGTAATCAATTAATACACAATCTAATTATAATTGAAGCTTTTTCGGGACTATTAAAAGTCACTATGAGGCGTGTGTTGGTGACATACTCAAAATTTGTACAGATGTTATCACAACATATATGAATAGATGATACTTTTTAAATTTAATCAGTTGATAAAAAAATTTAAAATATTTATCAAAAGATATATTGTTTTAAATTTATGCGTTAAGTATGAAAAGTTCAAGACTAATTTTTGAGTTTAAAGTTGAAATATATCTTAAAAAAGGAAAACTTATTAAAAAATGAATAAACCATCTATTCTTGGGGGTTTCAGAACCCCCTTATACTCCCCTAAAAAATATCTGGCACGCGACTCTCTTGAATTACCATATACTAATATATAATTTTTAGCTTCGATGCGAAGCTGAGAAGATATTGGTTTTACTAAGTGTGTGTGTTTTTTTTTTTTGTGTGTCTGTTATCACTTTATCTCAGCTCTCAACGAACAAATTTCTTTTAACAATACGTCAAAAGATCACAAATCGTATCTAGTCGAAGACATTACCCTCAAAAATTGAAAAAATTTTCCTCGTTCCCCGTAAATGGGGGAAATCTCCAAAAAAAAAAAAAATTACCAAATTAAAAATCACTAATTTTTAACATTTTTAAATTTTTTATACCTAAAACTGTCATAACTTTTTTAGAAATGACCAAATCAACATAATTTTTTTTATAGATGCATGATGTCTTTACCTAACATTTGGTATATTTTTTTTTTTATATCTGACTCTTTACCTGCCCACAAGGGAACAACTTTTTCACAATAAATTAACTTTTTTAACTTAACTTTTGAAAGTGTTCCGGAAAGTCTGACACTTTTATATATATATTAAATTAAAGTTAATGTAATCTACTTTATTATGCGAAAAAAAAAATTCGGACTTTATTTTATCTTCATGGTGAAAACAGACATTAAAGTTTATAAAAAAAATACGACTTTTGTAAAAAAATTCTTTGTTATATTTTTAACTTTATAATGCTATAACTTTTTAAAAGATGTATGGATCAATATAATTTTTTTTTATAGATGCATGATGTCTTTACCTATCATTTGGTATATATTTTTTTTTTATCTGACCCTTTACCTGCCCACAAGGGGGGATTTAAAATGACAACTTTTTCACAAAAAATTTACTTTTTCAACTTAACTTTTGAAAATGTTCCAGAAAGTCTGACACTCTTATTTATATCTTAAATTAAAGTTAATGTAATCTACTTTATTATGCGAAAAAAAAATTTCGGAATTTATTTTATCTTCATGGTGAAAATGGCTACCAAATCCTATTATTATGTAAAAATTCTCGATTTTATTTTTTTATTTTTAACTTTATAATGCTATAACTTATTGAAAAGTGTATGGATCAACATAATTTTTTTATGAGAAATAATAATTTTTAATAATCCCTTTTTCATTCGATATACTTTATCTGAATCAGGATATTAATAACAAACTAGCAGATCATGTTGCTTTTGGAATAATCCACCTATTTTTTAAAATTAAACACTCTAAAGATTTGCATCGAAGCGTTTTTTATGATAGTGATTTTAATCACTGTCAGATATCATTATAGTTGATCCAAATATGTCACGTCACCACTGTGCCGCGACCCCCCTGTGCTGGGTTTTTTATATTTTTAACTTTATATAATGCTATAACTTTTTGAAAGATGTATGGATCAATATAATTCTTTTTTTTATAGATGCATGATGTCTTTACCTAACATTTGGTATATTTTTTTTTTTATATCTGACCCTTTACCTGCCCACAAGGGAACAACTTTTTCACAATAAATTAACTTTTTTAACTTAACTTTTGAAAGTGTTCCGGAAGGTCTGACACTTTTATATATATCTTTAATTAAAGCTAATGTAATATACTTTTATTTAAAAAAAAAAAAATTTGACCTCTGGACTTGTATTCATGGTGAAATTGGCTACCGAATGCTATTTTTGTGTGAAAATTCTCGATTTTATTTTTTCTATTTTTAACTTTATAATGCTATAACTTATTGAAAAGTGTATGTATCAACACAATTTTTTCTAAGAGAAATAATATTTTTATCCCTTTCTCATTCGACATACTTTTTTTTTAAATCGCTCCATTTCCCTAAATACAGGGGGGGTTCAAAACTTAAAAATGCATATAAAAAGTAAAAATTTTTCAACTTAATTTTTTAAAGTTTTCCGGAAATACTGGCACTTTTATACATATCTTAAATAAAGCTTATGAAATATACTTTATAAGGAAAAAAAAATTTCGGACTTTATTTTGTTTTCATGGTGAAATAATATTTTTTAATAATCCCTCTTTCATTCGATATACCTTATCTTAATCAGGATATTAATAAGGAACTAGCAGATCATGTAGCTTTTGGAATAATCCACCAATTTTTTTAAAATTAAACACTATCTAAAGATTTGCATGGAAGCATTTTTTTTTTATATTGATTTTAATCACTGTCAGATATCATTATACTTAATCCAACTATTCACGTCACCACTGTGCCGCGACCCCCCTGTTCTGGGTTTTTTTTAATAAGTTTTTCTTATTTAAGATAAACTTTAAACTCAAAAAATATTTTTGAACTTTTTTACTTAACGCATAAATTTAAAACAATATATCATTTGATAATTATTTTAAATTTTTTTATCAACTGATTAAATTTAAAAAATATCATCTATTCTTATATGTTGTGATAACAACTGTTCAAATTTTGATTACGAAAAAAAACACATCATAGTAAAACTAATACCTTTTCAGCTTCGCATCGAAGCTAAAATGAATACAACATCGTTTTATGTAAAGCGATTCTAGCCGTTAATATTCCTTTAAACAAACTATCCAATACACAATTCAGAAGTTTCATCGAGAAGTATACTGGAAAAGATACCTATGTTGAATTAACTTTTTGTTTGGGATATGTAGACAATACTACAATGTTTTACTATTTGTAATGTTTTTATTATTTGTAAAAACATTTGGAAAATCGTTATTGTTATAATAACTCAACGGAATACAGTACGTCAATATCTTATTGTTTGTAACCGATACCGCGCCGTACATGAAAAGTCTGCTCAAATTCTTCAATCTTTTTACTCAAACAAAAATTATTCATCTCACTGTTTAGCACATGGCTTATATCGTGTAGCCGAAAAAATTTCTTTTTAAATCGAAAATGTCGATAATTTGGTGGCTATTGTAAAAAAATATATCGTAAATGCCCATATCGAGTAAACATTTTTAAAACTGAATACTCTAATATACCATTACCTCCAGCACCCATCATTACGCAGCGGGGAACTTGGCTATCAGCTGCGCCGTACTACTGTACACTTTTTGAAATTTTAAAACGCATAGTTGAATCATTTAATGAAAATCCAAACATATATTTAATCTCCAATCATTATAAGCCATTCTAATTTACATTAAATCGAACCTTGATTGCCTGTCGCAACAATATTAAAATTCAAAACAAATTGAAAAATGTTTTAGATAATAATCTTGGGTATAATATTATTTGAAACATTTCTAATTTTTTAAACAGCAAAGAATATGACCTTAAAAATCTAAAACTAACTGAAGAAATGAATGGGAACGATTTTTTGTATTATAAATATGCACCACTTATTTCGTCAGACATCGAAAGATCATTTTCAATCTTAAAAAACTTGTTAGTCAACAATCGTCGATCTTTTAGGTTAGAAAACAAAAAAAAACAGTCATAGTACAATGTAATTTTCATAATTAATGTTTAACAAAAAAACAAAGGTATTAAATCTACTCAAATGTTTCAAAAATTAATTATTTACATTTTAATAATCCTATTATTATGATTGAAAATCAGAAAAAGAATTAATTTTTGAAGATTACTAAAATGTTTCAAATTGTGTTAATTTATACTTTTGATTTTTATTTGTTTATAATTGTTTACTAAAAAGTTATAGTTTATAATAAAAAATTACACATTAAAATATTTCTTGCTCTTTCAAAATATGCTTACTTTAGATTTTTAGAATAAGCGTCGGGTAAGGTATGGTAGGGTTAGTTCCTCCCAAAAATAACAAATAAGCCTTTCAAAAATTTAGCAAAATTATATGCATTGTTATATGAAAACAATTTTTGGAGGCATAAAATTAAATTCCCCTTGAAATTTAATCAATCTACGCTCATGGTTTTAGTCCATATTTGCATGATTTTTTTTAGTTTTTTTGTGCATGAACTACAAGCTTTGCTTATTATACTTTGTATAACTTGAAGGGATATTTAGCTAGGAGATAAGGGAGTAAATTAACTGCAGATTTTTTATGTATTATTTATGTCTGTACCTAAAGCTATAAAATGAAACTCGAAAGAAAATTTCTATCATTCTAACTCTAATTTCTATGTATGCAAAAGTATCTCCAAATATTTTCTAATAAGCTAGAAAATATGTACAAAATTAATGAAATTTTAGGTATAG